ATCATGCAAGACGGAGGCTCGTTGATGTGACTGGTGGAAGGAGGCGCCCCCGAAAATCTTGAGGGAATGCTGCGCCAGGTAACCAGATTGCAGGATGAGTTGGAGAAGACCAGGGGTCAGGCCGCAGCAAGGTTGATTTTGATGTGTTCTCTTTGGAGTGCCTGTTGCTGCAGGCCAAAAACCAAGCTGAGAAGCTGGAAGGTTCACTTGTCGAGCTGCACCGAGTGCGGATAGCAGAACAAACGTTGCAACAGGAGCTGCATGCATGACGAAGGGATGATCGCCGAGTGGGCTCATGCAGGCTCTGACTTTTTATCAAGCCCCACGCAGGAGCTTGCCCGCATCAAAGCCGAGTACAGTGGGACACTGTGGCAAAAGCTACATGGTGATGCTGCCAGCCTGGCAAAATTCCTGCATCCTGCTAAGGAACCTTCCCCCGAAGCCAGCTCGGGATGGGCTCGAGTTGGACAAGGCGCAATTCGGGTGACGACCCATACGCGCACTTGCAGTCTTTGGTCTGGCGATGAGCACCGCGAACACGTGAAATCGTACATGTCGTCAGGTCAGGACGCAAGAGTTCCATTTTTGGTACGGTAGGTTACCAAGAAGTTTCTGTTTCTGAGGACATACATGTCGCGGTTCCAATGCTGTCGGAGATGGCATGGTTGCTTATTTGCGAAGGATGGGCCCACAGAGTGAGCGACAGAGAGATAGAGATTTGCCCCTCAAGGCTGGCGAGAGAAAGATAGAGAGAGCGGCCCCAGGCCTCCAGCTCGGTAGGAAGACAACAATTGAGTGAGTTCCCTCACTCGCGCTCGCAAGGGTATGCCCTGCCCTTGGTGTCTGCGTGGAAGGAGAACGGGCAAGGTATCTTATCTCACTACGCAGGGCGGTTGTGGAAAACTGGGAGTTTGGAATAGAAACGGAAAGCGCGCCGCGGATGTTCCTGGCTTCCCTGTCTGCGTTAATGCTAGTGGCGCATCCGTGGTTGCAGACGTCCAGAGTCTTTTCCACAGCGTATCCAACTGGGATGATCGAGTTTGGCATCAGTCCGTCCGTCTACCCATCGCAGATGACTGAAGGAGGTCACATTGATTCCATCGCCCCACCATCCCGGTACATGGCGGCATGGGGTGGAGTAGAACTGCTTCGAAGTCGTGTCTCGAGGGCAACAAGCAAAGGCACAGATTCGAGACTGCGCAAGACGCCGCTGAGCATGCTTCCTGCCCATGCTTATCACCGAAACTGCCACCCAAGCTGACCGCCCAGTGTTACCCGAAATCACCCATGAGTGAAGATATGTGAAGATGACTAATGACTATCATCAAGAAGCATCGTCAGCAGAGCACAACTCATAAAATTAGTAATTAGCTAGCTTCGGACATTGCATGTTGATGCCCTCATGTATGTCTTCAAGAACACCTTCAAGCTAGCAGGAAAAACTAAAACGGAGAGATTTCAGGGCAGGTGCACTGCAGTCCCCCGGTCAAAGAACACCTACGTCATCTTGATCTGACCAGCCCGGCCGCTGTAGGACGCGGTCCGGCACGAAGATGTCTCTAGGCACAGTTTGTCCCCCGTGAAAATCAGCTCGCCAGGCTCGGGCTGCTTTGGCAGAGAGTCTGGTGAAGATCGCCGACCTGCAGGCAGCTCTTGAATTCCGCTTGTTTTTTGGGAGTGTGCGTACGCCAAGGGTAGGTGACCGCAGCCTAGGATGTAAACGGCCAAGCTTGAATATTCTCGAATACATGCTGCATTCGCTGAAGTCTTTCTTTGCAATGCGTCGAATAGGATCTAGTCCAGGACACATAGGCTACTTTGCGGCCAGGCGCAGCTCGTGACGGTGCGTGCCGGGCTTGGGAAATTTTTGAGCTCTCGGGTGTGTCTTGGAGAAGCATCGGTAGTTGGCGTCAGGCCAGGCGGCTTCACCACCTTGCAGCCCCACCGCTTTGGAGCTACCACCTGAGAGCTTGTTGCAAGCTGATTTGGCGCAAATGAAGTGCCTCTTCGGCAAGCAAGCCGTGCTCATCATCCTGGCTCGTTTTACCGACCTTACAGATTGTCTTAAGTCTTGCCTGCGAGGCAGGCACTCTCCAGGCAGGATGCCGTTGTTGCGGACCTTCAGACGCAGATCACAGCGGTCCGGGCAGAGCGGAGGAGCCAGCCAAGGGCACACACACAAGGAAGAGCACGCATGTAAGCAGAACTCGTGCCAAAGCGTACGGCTCATGCAGTGACCTGTGAGGCGATGGCAGGACCTGTCCGAAAGAAGGGAACAGCGGCGCTTGGAAGCAGAGGAGCACGTTTCCACGGTTTCTGACAGCATCGCGCAAGGTTCGGGGTGAGAAGCTTAAGGTTCAACAGATTCTGGCAGAGGATATGCAGGACATGGCTGTCCTTCTGAGTTGCGCGAGCCCGTGTTCGGCATGTGGCTCCAGGTGATCACCCGTCATCCTCCCGCTTGCCGCCTTGCTTCCGTGTAAGTTCCCCAGCCATGGGAAAGGGATTCGCCATCGACAAGTCCCTGGAGGCCAACATGCACCAGTACCAGATCGTGGGCCGCGCAGCACCAACTCCGAAGAACCCGACTCCGAAGATCTACCGCATGAGGATTTTTGCCCGGAATGTGGTGCTGGCCAAATCCCGCTTCTGGTATTTCATGAAGAGGCTCAACAAGGCGAAGAAGAGTGGTGGTGAGTTGCTGTCCGTGAATGAGCTGCACGACACCTCCCCTACCAAGGTGAAGAACTATGGAATCTGGTTGCGGTATGACAGCCGTACCAACACGCACAACATGTACAAGGAGTTCCGCAACGTGAACATCAATGGCGCTGTTGGGCAGCTCTACCAGGAGATGGCCGGTCGCCACCGTGCAGACCCTGGTTCTATCCAGATCATCCACGCAACTACCATCCCCGACGAGAAGTGCCGCCGCGAGCACGTCCTGGAGATGCATGATAAGAAGCTGAAGTTCCCAGTCATCAGGAAGATCCCTCATGCTGCCAAGAAGTTGCGTACCACCTTCAAGGCGAAGCGCCCGCAGACCTTTGTGAAGTAGAAGTGGAAGCGATGGCGTGCAGATGCAAAGAAGCAGATGGAGCATTGACGGAGCAGAAAAGGGACCGCAGTGGCAGCAGCAGGCATAAGGGTGTCACGACACTGTTGGCCCGTCGCCCTCCAGCTGTGAGGATGAAGTGCTCCGGCTGCGGAATGAGCTGGCGACCACCGCACGACACAACTTGATGCGCTCCGAACTCGAGCGTACCGTAGAGGTCGTAACACAGGAGGCGGGGGAGCGAACATTCGTAAAGACTTCCGCACGTGTATTGAAGCAGGCTGAGCGCTTGGAGAAGGAGCTTTTGCACGTTCAGGGGCAGCTGCAGCAGTCCAACGGCCAGCTCGCCGAGGTGGTTCACGGCCTTAAGGAAAGAGCACCTGTCGGAGATAGGCGCGGCCTTTGATTTGCTTGAGTTCTGCAGACAGACTGAGGCATCCTGCCTTGGAGTTCCAGATGTTGATCCTTCCGATGTCGCGCAAGACCTGAAATCCAAGGCTTGAAACGTCTTGCGCCACCGTGCCATTTTCGGAATGCTCGCATGAGAATGTCATGCACAGGTGCGAGGATTGGAGGCGCAACTTCAAGAGTGCAAGGGCAAGTTGCGCAACATAGAACCTTGTCTCCAGATACATTTGAAAGAGCTTGATCGAGCACGAGACGTCAGAGTCCGTCAATCGTTGCGTCATTGCTTTGTCATGGTTGTCTTGTCGCTTGCTGGGTAACCTATCTCTTGACATAGCTTTAGTATTTTAGTGTTTTAGAGTGCCTGTGCCTTCTTCGCTCATGTTGTTTTCGCTGAGGCCGGCGCAGCTGGAGTGGACGACGTGGAGCTGGTGTTCGAATCGATCGATGGCTGGAAAGAGAAGGCAGGCAGTTTGTTCTAGGCATAGTGCAGCTACGGGTAAGGCAGAACCATGGCTGCAAGAAGAAAGAATAGGGCGTTCTGTGCACGCCCTTCCCCGTTCTCGCAGACGTCCTTCTTGCAAGAGGACACCACTTTGCCAGGTCCATGAGACCAGCCGTGACCTTTTCAAGCGAGACCAGCTTCTTGCGGAGGCAGCCGCGGGCATTGTTTCTTGACAAGACGTATTGACCTTCCGGACAACTTGTCGCCAGCCGGACACGTCGATCGACCCAGCGACCAAGGCAGACTTTTTGGAGATCCTGGGCTTGGGATCTCTGGGATTGCCCAAAGGCCGCGGTGGCGCAGCCACAGTGTAACAAAGAGACTTCCAGTATCTTCATCTCTCACCCAAAGCAGAACAGGCGGTCCCGAGGCCGCTCAAGCGGCCTTGCAGGCTTTGGATGCTGCCGAGGAAGCCGTTCGCCGCTGAGCCGGGCGGGCCGGGCGGGGAGTTTCGTGAAGACATGAAGCCGAGCCCAAATATCTCAGGCAGCCAGAATGGCTCGTGCTGCAAAGGTGGCCGCCACGAAAAGGAGAGTCCCGTCGCTTGAGCAGACAGGAGAGAGAAGCTTTTTCTGCCAATGAGGACGGATGATTCGGTGCCTCAGATGATGCATAGCTACATTCAGCTAGATGTGCGAGCGTCCGGGCAACAATCTGCCAGATCTTTGCTGGCGGCAAATCCCTGAATCATTTCGGACTCCTTGAGTCGTTGAAATTACCAAGGCTTTGGCTTCCGATCCCTCATGACCGCAATGCGACGGTTTGCGAGCTCTGAGGGCTCTTCTGCACAGAGGGATGAACGAAAAGGGGGCAGCGCCGGCACTCCGAACGGCGATGCGATATCAATATCACTCTCTCAGCACTGAGCACAATCTGCCGGCTCAACCAGGAGCTGAGGCTAGCAGCTGGTCGCATGCAAGTGCAAAACTATGAGTGTTTGAGCAATGTTTCCTACCCAGACGCTTCTCACTTGCTTCAGAGGAGAGGGGTGTATTGTGGCTAGTTGCTACCGCATCTGGCGAGATTTGTGCCAAGATGGCGATGGAAACAAGTGCAGACATTTCTCATCGGGCACGGCGCGTCCTCATTGGTGCCACTTGTCAGCTTGTGCAGAGAGTATTGCGGAAAGCGGCATGGAACAAGACTTTCGCAGTCATGTCAGAAGCCTGTTGCAAGGCCAAGATGAGGCAGTCCAAGGACCTGGCGATTTGTGCGCACGTTGAGTTGATCGCCTCTATATAGTTGGACTGCCTTTTCGAGTAGGTAGTCGATGAGATCTAGAGCCCACATTACTACATGTTCTGTGCACCTTTTGCTGTTGCATCAGTGGTGATCGAGTGCTTGCGGCGTCCATGCAAGACATACGAGTTTGCATATTGCAGCCAGCTCTCGAAACAAGACGAGCTACATGTATGGCGCAGATGATCACAAAAACATCGATCTTGTTTTGTTACCAGCAGCATGTACCGCTTGTCTATGCGCGTGAGAAGTCCGAGAGCGCCTAGGGCGACATCTGTACCGTCGATGGGTCGTCAGTTGGAAGCAGTTGGAAGCACGTGCCCGAAAACACGTGATCTCACATCGCCAGAAGGCGGAAGACATGCGGTTTCGTGCATCAGCATCAGCTGACTGTGCAACAGAATGTGTGAATGCTGGATTTCGGGCGAGCCTGCAGTCGAGACTCGGGTTCATTCCAATCCACTCCAACTCCCGCTCCACTGCACTTCTACGAGCACTCACTTTCGGGTATTTGGCCCTGGAAAAAGGCAGTACTTTGGCGTTTCGGATTAAAAGATATTAAGAGTTTAGGGTGGAATCCTAAAATGTGCATCGGCCGGTTTGAAGTACGGAGCTAGAACCCCCCATCCCGAGCAACCGCAAAACCGTGGCTCTGAAATCTGGGTAAGTGGACATACAGAATGAAGCCCATTTATACCTGTCCTCGCAGGAATCCTGGGATGAATTGTTCCACGCAGCAGACAAGGACTGTTAAGCGTCCGTGTCATGGCCGTCAAGATGTTGGCTTGGACTGAGTCCCGCATGTCCCACCCCCGTTCCTGTTCGGCTATGTTGGGCTTTTACTTTGCCTGCGGCGATGGCAGGACAGATCGAAGACTCTGGATCTGAAAGAACTGACGCAGGCCACACTGCGAAAGGATGTCATGATGTCGCCAGTCTTGCGTGACAGAGCCGTTCAATTCGAGTTTCGTCTGGCTTTTGCTTGGGTTCCAAGTCCAACCAATCCTGACCCATCATTCGTGTTCGTGCTGCGAGTCATCATCCGACATGAAAGCATGCAGGGCGGGCATCTTCGTGAGAGCTGTCAGAGAGAGAGCCCGAAGGGATGAGTTGGAAGCCCCATATGTTGTGGGCAGGTTTCCAGGCCCCCCCAAGCCCCCAAAGCCGAATCACTGCCCGGATTTACAAGTATTTTTTTTGTCGGGGGGGTTGGCGGGTGACAGGGGTGAGTCGGGCTCCATGGAAGTACGTTGTATTAGAAATGTATTATCAAGGGCTCTTGCCCGGTGTGTCGCCGAAGTCAGGCTCAAGGTGAGACGCAGTTGTAGGATGTTCTAGGTGGCATGTCTTCCAGACTGGCGAATTGGCATGACGAGGCTCGGGGCCAGATGGATGTAGCTACTGGCGCACGCGCATGCTAGGGGTGGCCAGGTTTGCAGAAGTGTTGGCATCCGACACGGGCTTAGGTTTCTTGTGCTCTTGCCCCTCTTTTGCAGCAGCTGAGTTGCAATTATTCCAGACCAGCTTCTATTGATCCCACATGCCCTGTTTCGTTGTTGTGTCAGGTGCCCAGTTCATCTGCAGGGACCCTGGCTGGTCGGATGATTTCTGCTCGCCCCAGGGCACCAACGTCTCTGGTTGCAGCAGCGAAGGCGGAGAGCGGGAGCTGGGCAAACAAAAGCGCTGCAGAAAGGGTGCGAGAAGCGAAGCGAGGCTATGGCGTGTTACCCAAAAGCCCGGACTGGATGCAGATCCGCCAGCGGCTGATCCGAGAGAGCTCCGACTGCACCGTTGCAGCGGCGAGGGTAGGGTAGGATGGGTAGGACGGTAGGACCGGTAGGATGCACCATGGGGCTCTGCAGTATGCTTTTGTCTCCGACTTCTCATTCGAGGATGTTTGGACAGGAGATGCTTCCTCGCAAGTCCAGGCCAGAGTTGCGTTAGTGGCTAGCTTCCCCGATGAAAAAGTGTTGATCTTGAAGTCTTGCTGTTTCTTCAGGCCGGACAGTGTCACAACAAAAGCAGTCCGGCATTTGTTTCCTGCCCCTCGAAGTGAAATATGGCCTACATGCACCATCATGAGCCGATGTTCGATTGTTGGAGAGCTGCATCGCCCTCTGTTGAGGACTGTTTGTATGCTGCCTGGGGCAGTGGAAACAGAAGTGACTGTGAGAAAACCATCAATGTGACCGAAATTCTGTGGACGATGCCTGCCAGGCTGCGAGCACCTTGGCTTTCACCTAGACTCTGGTTTTGTTGAACCGGCAAAGCTGTCATGTGCGACGTCGACTACGATGACGGAGCATGTCGGGCTGCTTTGTGTCCTCCGGCTTTTCGAAGGCGAACTACTCAATGACGCTGACCTCGAAAGTGTTCTTGACACTCAGCACTTCGGGGTATGCGCCGAACTACGACATTTGGGGAGCCCCGGCTTCGAGTTCCGTCAGGTTCGGCGGCGTCAGTTTCATGTCACACTCCGAAGGTGCAGGGCAGCCAGCAGATCCAGAGCCCCCTGGCCGGGGAAGGGCGACCTTCTGTAGCTGATAGCACCTACACAACTCATACCAGTTGCATACTGTAGAGTGGCTTGGGCAGTGGCCCCAGACACCAACGAATAAGTGCAGATCTCCTGCGCGGAAAGGCCTTGAATAAGTCTGCAGGCGCTCGGAGCAAGCTCAGCACACATATGCTGCGAACATGGGAAGGGAATCGCCTGATTCTCTTCCTGTGTTCGCAGCATGTGTGTACTGAGCTTGTTCACAGCGTCTGCAGATGTATTCAAAGTTTTTCCACTCAGGAGTTCCCCTGCTACAGATCATGCAGGAGTTGTACTCTCAGAGAGTTCATGGAGTCGGTTTCGCCAAAGTCGCAAATCTTCCCAAAAGGTTTCTCTCAGACGATATCCGATATCACGTTGCAAAGAGGTAGGATCAGCGGATTGAGGGTTAAAGTGACGATAGTAAACGTCCAGGGGCCTTAGGCATGTAGAAACTCCACATGGATGGAAGTCACAGTTCCAACAAATTCCACACGGAAGGCATTCTTTGCCGTATAAATTGAAAGTGCACTCCTTCCACGTGGAAGAAGTTGTAATTCCACTTGGATCGTCAGGTGCGAGCGATACCATGCATCAGCTGAGAGCCGGACTGCATGCACAGGCCTCCCGTGTATCTGAACGACGAAAAGAAGTGTTCTCTAAGAACAAGGGCCTAGTGTTCAATATGCAAGATGTGCACCAGATTGACGGCTGCAGGCAGTGCTTGGTTGTATCCTCGTAAGCTATCCTTCACGAGCTCGTACTCGCTCAAGTTCGTCTATGGAGATGGTGAGATGGTGCGGACGTCAAATTTGGTCCAGGAGCCAAGCCAGGAGCCACGATTGAGGAGAGGATACCGAGGAGACAGAGAACACTTACGACAACGGTGCATGAAATCAGCACTTTAAGTTTTCAAGATGCTGATGAACCAGTTTGAAGTTGGACATCGAAAGACGAGGCGTAGGGCTCCCAAGTGCACGCTCGATATCTCAAGACTTCCGTGCGGTTCTAAAGTTCATCTCCCAGGAGGTGTGTAGCAGTTTTGCCTGTTGCACCTTTGAGGTTCATCACCTTTGCCGTAGGGGCCCAGCTAAAAACTTCACGAGTATACTTGTGGACATCAGCGAAGAAGTGAGAGTTTGTCGGAGCGAAGCCCAGGCTTCCTCGTAGAGGAAAGACTCTGGTTCTCTTCCACAACGGCCACGGAATGTCGAAGGGCTGCCCGACCTACGGAGACCGGCTTGTTCTGTGTCACTGCTGCGCTGTGTTGCCCTGTGACGTGCTTTGCACGAGCGACAGCGATGTTCGTTGCTTTCTGATGGCAGGAGACACAGACGGGAGTGCGGACTGGCTGAACCAGATGGGCTTCGATGTGGCTACAATCATGTTTCCTGCCAGCACTGCATTACGGTCTCTTCTGCTTCTCTGCTAGCTTGTTTGCGAACTTGAGTTTCCCGTCGGACGTGATGCAGTTTATCGGAAGGGTGGTTGGAAATGCATCTCCGGACAGCTTCGATTCCAGCTTGACAATTTTCCCTTGTCAATGGATTCTTCGCGACGGTTCCTTGCGATTCGCACTTCGAGTCTCGCATGAGTGGAGGGTTTTTGAATCCAGTCCCGCAGTTTTTTCAGAACCCTGTCTGTGATGTAGTGGTACCATCCCAGATAACTTGGGTGGCCCAAGGCTGTTCTCCAAGTTGCCACATAAGACTTCTCGTCTGACTGTAAGTATAGCTTCCGGTGTTGTCAGGAAATGTTAGGAAGTGCAATTTGAATTTTCCGCCGTAGGCAATGACATGGGGGCTTACCGGGTCTTGCTGCGAGACTGAGATGCGCACACGAGCCAGACTGTTGCCCGGTGCGACTCAACGGGACACATGTAGCATCATCTGCATGCTTTCTTGGGCATCGTTCTTCTTTCCCAGCTTTTTTCAGCCGTCCTGCGAGAATCACCGGACCCCTCCATGCAGCTCAGGATGCCCTTTAAGGACTGCAACTCCGACCCACATGATCCTCACAGTTTGCACGTGGCTTTGATGGAAGCTTAGTCGCCGCATGCATAGCCATGAGTGCTCTCAACTTTATCTGAGGCTTGGTTTCAACCCTTCGAGGATGAAGGAAAGCCCTGGGTGAAGTACTTTCTTGAGCCAGTTTCCTGGCCGCTCGAGACATATCCCTTCAGTCTTTGCCCAGAGCTCATCTGCTTAGGTAATCAACACCATCAACTTTGCCATTGATTCGTTGGCATATGCTCTTCAGCTGGGTTACGAGTTAGGAGGCAGAGCCCGTCGACGCCCCTTTCGAGTCTTTCCCCATTGGTTTGCAGCGCTGAGTTTCAAGCGGACGTCAGTGGAATTGTTCAATGAGCAGACGTAAAAGCGAAAGCACTGCCAGGAGAGGATCATCATGATGGGTTTGAGTGGAGGTGGTTGGACCACAACACTCGCGGCAGCCGTGGATCCCAGAATAGAGCCTTGACTCGTCCTTCTGGGAAGGCATCTGAGGTGTAGGATTCTTCAGCGATATAGATTTGGTTGCGCCAAGGTGCTCTCGATTCCGATTGCTGGCAGCCTACCCTGTGATTTCCGGCAGCCGGGCTGACACACCCCAGCAGATCGCGTGTTGGTGCTGCTTCCAAGAGAAGGCCATCTTCTGTCAGGCACACCAGTTGGGACTTCGAGCAGTACTGTTCCGATCGCTGGGCACAGATAGGCAGCTAAGCTTTCCCAAATAGTCGGGCAAACTATGTGCCGGCTTGTCTCAAAACGCCTTGTTCAAGCTGACAACGGCATGTCTGCACGGACTTCTCAGGAAACTACACGGCCTTGTACGTTCTAGCGGCCCTCGAGAAGGGTCGAGCCAGCCTTTCGCCTTCACCGGACAGAACACTCACCTCAGCGGGTGGCATAGACAACGCGGGCACAAAATTCCACATCATCACCTTTTTTCGTGTCGGCGCAAGGTGTACAAATGCTTCACGAATCCGACCCCTGCTGCTTCCATGCCTGTGGTCGTCATTCGAGGATCCAGGACTTTCAGATCCGTGTTTCAAGGGATGTTGGCACGACGGTTGCGTTGATATGAGACATCACTTCATACCGGGCAAGAAATCCTTTTGAGAGACAGCTGCTAGCGTATCTGCGGCAGGGTTGGGACTGCTTTGCAACCTCTAGCAGTCTAAATGGCATCAGAAGGCCCGCAACCCGAGAGGAAAATCAGCATCATGCTCGCTGGATGGATTGAATGATTGTAATGGTCGCAAGCCCATATCGAATGGGCAGGGCAGGAGCTCTTGGAGGCGTCAAGTCCAAGGCTTGGAGACACAGGAAAGGTCCAGTGTGGGATGGGATGGGCACGGAGCGTGCTCACACACGGCCAGGACTATAACAGATTCGTCAATTCTGCAGCACGGGGTGTTTTCCAGACTGTCGTGACGGAGGGGAACTTACATCAGTTCAACCCGATTCTCGGCACAACGATGGAGATCAACTGTGCAGTTGTCTTCTTTGTGCTTCCTAGGGGTGTGTCTGTGCGTGTGTGCAAGTTGATGAATTTGATCGGCGGCTGCTTTGTTTGCGAGGCGGGAGAAGGTGATTGCAGCGACTTTGATCGGCAAGGTGTCTCGGAAGGAGGCGACGCGTTCTGCTCGCAGGCCGGCGATGTTTTCACCCAACTTTACCCGCCTTATCCGTCAGGAGATCAAGGCCTGCGACGTGCAGTCGCCATTCAACGTGCTCCACGACGAGAGAATCAGAATGAGTTCACTCCTCATCTGAAAGGTGCCGGCACGCCTGCCTGCACCATCCACGACGGGTTGGGGTTAGGCCATGACAGAAGGTGGCAGCCCCACTCCCCTCGGCGGCCATGGAGGTTCACCGGCTTCGAGGGGCCCCGCCCGCGCTGCAACCAGCAATCATCTTTTGTGCTAGTAGCAGTTGGCAGCCACACCAGCGGCAATGCGAGAGAGAGCATCGGTAAGTGCTTTCCGCATGAGTCGAAGTGGTAGATGGAGCACTTCGATGTGTGCCTCTCTGGAGATCTGTGGAGAGCTTGAGAACCGGCTCCCACAGGCTTGTAGCACGTCTGGGCTTGAGCCCAGCCAGATGCGGTGCGTACGGCTTGAGCGCAGAAACCTCGCCACATCGCAGCCGTCGTAGCAGCTTGCGAGTCATTGGTCGTTATCGGTGTCTCTGAGAGTTTAAGATACTGCATAGAAGCTCGAGCGTCCCAGTGAAGCCTGTGACAGGTTCTACGGGAAAAGCTACGCATTCCCGACACCACGCTCCGTGGCAGAACTGTGCCCGCTGCTGATCTGTGCCGAAGCCGGAAAGACTGAGGCTTCCGGACCATGAGATCCAGGTCGTGTTTTGCGAAATTGACCTTGACAAGCACCTCGGAGCCGCAAAAAAGCGAGCCATGAACTGGGGCATTGCACACACCTGGCGCGGGCCGAGGACTGGGGCCATTTCTGGCCCCGAGTTTTCAAAGAATCCCGGCAGCATGACGAAGCACATGGGTTTTGGGGCCTTTATGGCCTGGAGCACGGTACTCTCGACGCCCCAGGTTTGTCTCACGTGGACCTTTAAACCCAGAGGAGGAGGCCAAGCTCTTTGCAGTTCGGGTAAAGCGAGTACACCGCCGCTCTGCTGAGTGGCCTTGCGGATCTCTTCAAGTGGACTTCGAATGCCGGCTGACCTGTAGTTTGCAGCTGGCACTCCGGCAGACACAGCCAAGGCAACCTTCGCTTGGGGTTCCGAAACTATAAGTGCCTTCGTGAAAAAAGACCTCAGAGTGAGAGTTAAAGCATCCGGAGCGACTGCTTCTAAGGACAGATGATGCAGCCCCTCGGCTGGCTTTCGTCCCTGAGTGTGCCATGTTCTTGACAACCGTACCGTGAGACACCCGGCTGTCCCCTTCGTGAGAAGGGAGTACTGCTACACCCTCTCGTTTTGGTCTACTAGATGTTGCTGATGGTTTGGGACCTCGGGTTCTAGGTAGGGTCTAGAGGTTGCTGGCTCGAAAAAGGCTTCGGGCAGGCCTTTGATCGAAGACTTCAGGCCTGAGAGAGCTTCCTTCAACCACATGAGAGACCAAAGCCAAGCCATGCCGTTCCAAAGGCAGACAAACGAAGCCGGAGTCAAAACACATCCACGGTGTCAATGTCTGTGAACACGCGGCCGTATGCACACAAAAGTCTCTTGTTGACAACTGGTCATGCAGGCGTCAGCAAGCATCAGCAAATATCTTTTGTTTTTTTGTGCAGGCAGTGCGACGGCTTTTCGATCGCATCGACAGAGGCGGTGACGGTCACTCGACTTGACTGCTCGACTACTGTTGGCCGATTGGGACGCTGTGGCTATCCCAAATCCAGGCCGCATTTCAATGCATGAGCTCATGGGCTTCGTGCGGGAAGACTTAAAGCTTACGAAGTGGGATGTCTTCGAGTCAGAGGCTTGTCGGCAAGGAAGGCATGGAAAGCAGAACCGGCTATCATGTCTGCTTACCGCAGAGAGGTTGAAAGTTTTCTGAGGAAATGAAAGCCTTCTACAAGAGTATGGACGACAACGGAGATGGCTCCTCTTCTTGAAGGGGCTTGCCTCGTACTAAGTGCTTTGCACTGCTGACCAACAAGGTCTCGATGCGAATGAGCTGGTCAAGTTCATCCGTCACACACGGGCCGCAAATGGCAAGCAGAACCAGCGAAGTCAGACGGGCCCTTACCGTCGCATCGTGACGCGTCTTGCTGAGACGGAGTAGAACGGCAGTTGGGCGGCAGAAATTCTTTCGCTGCTGTGCCATCATGTGGCCATCTCTGGCAATTGCTTCCCAGGCAATGGCACAAACAGCTGGGGGACTTGACAGTACTGGTGACAGCAACTTGTGAGCTAGCAGCTAGCCAGGCACACACTTGACAAGCCTTTGCATGCAAAGACCAACGCATCCTTGCAACCCGCGAGCAACGTAACTACACGCGGTGATCCAAAGCGAGGTGCAGGATAGACCGAACACGTGTGTCCCGAAGGTTCTGGAGTTCGTATCCTCCCAGCATGTGAGCTCTTGTTCAAGTTTAGGGGCAGGTGGCTCGTCACGCCATGTCTGCTGCGGCCGGCTGCTGCTCTGCGCACCCCGTAAAAGCAGTTGTTGGCGGCTGCCGCAGCAGGCCGTCAAAGGATGCTGAAGAAACTGCTTCGAGGGTGTGTTCTGCAACTTTGCGGATGCTGAGCACCCCTTGTTTTTACTTGTAGTGCTGTACGATGCTGTGAGCGGATGCCGGAGCCTCTCAGGTGGCCCCATGGCCGCCGTGTGCCTGGAGCCTCAGCAGCCTTGCGCGCACAAGCCTGTTTGGAGGCACTGCTATGGGGTGGCTCTGTTTGAGTCAGTGCAGACACCAAGACATCAAATTCGTACTGTTTCGGCAATGGCAGCATGTGGCAAATCAGATTTGAAGCAAGCCGAGCCCGTCAGTGCATTTCGCACATCTTTTGTTCGCCGGCGATGGGAAATGCATGGAGGAAGCCCAGCGAGCTGAGCAGCGGCAGGAGCCGTTGCAAGCTCAGCGGCGCTTCGAAGAAGCAGCCCAGCTCTGGCAGCTCGGCACGAAGTTTTCAACCAATCGCAGATCAATGCATCATTGAGTATCGCAGCGTTTATGAAAGGTCTCGGATCGGAGGGCGGGAAGCCCTTGCAGCGGAGGCTTGGGCAGAGGCAAGGCCAAGAGTGGAACGGAAGCGCGAAGTAGCGCAGAGTTCTCCTGGCCTGAGGCAGGCCGCCTGCGCCTTGAGCTCGGGGCTTCCTTGGACGCGGTGGCCGCTTGGGCCTGGAAGCACGCCGCCGAAAGCCGCTCTCGCTCTCTCTCTCTCTCTCTCTCTCTCTCTCTCTCTCTCTCTCTCTCTCTCTCTCTCTCTCCGCACCCATCGTCAGGTCGCCTGCGAGCACGGCCTCCGCCTCAGTGCGCGGCACTGGCGCCTGGGCTTCCTCAGCGCGCTGGCGCTGGAGTCCATCGGCCTGCTCAGCACCGCCGAGGCGACTCTGCCAGAGCCCAGAGCGTCGCGGAGTGAAACGGGGAGGGAAGGGCTCTGAGCTGCGGATGGAGCGGCGAGTTGTCACAGGAGAGACTCCAACAGGCAGCTCGGCTCCTCACCGAGGCATACAGGGGTGCAAGAGTGGCGCAGCGGCAGAGTCTACGAGCAGAGCCGAGAGACACGTCGGATTCCGGATTCCACAGGTGGCCGCGAAGGACGCGCTCTCAGCCGTCCTGGAGGCCTTGCGCAGGGTCCGCGCACGGACTGCGCAGCTGCAGGCAGGAGAGCCACAGGTGCCTGGATCGCAGCTAGAAGAGGTGAGAAGCAGACTGCAGACGTCCAGACACTGAGGCGCTCATGGAGGAGATTCAGAGGATGGGCTCCCTGCTGGGCGACAAAGAGGCCTGCACACCATATCCTCCAGTCTGCATGTATTACCCTTCGGTCGAACTCCAAAGCGAATTCTTCAGGCGGGCTACTGGATAAGCAGCGTGGGAGAGTGCAGCCGCAGCGCAGAAGGCCAGGCGGAGCTTGTCCAGAAAGGCAGGGCCTTCACCACTAGTGACACTCGTGGCTCATATGTGAATATGTGCATCGTCGAAAACGAAGATTCAAAAACACGCCACAGGTTTCCTGGATTCATCGCAGCGTGACGTGAAGCAGCCGGTGGCAGTGGCAAGAAAAGCGAGCCTGGTGGCCATGAGGTCCCGGCCACTTCGTCCTTGGAGCGACTCCTCTCTGTCCATAATTCCGCAGTGCATAGCATGTAAATGTAAAGTCATTGCGGCCTCAAACGACCACGGCGTCACGTGTCGGCGTTTCGGTTCAAAAGTCCAGACCAGGAGATGTCTTGTTTCTCAGCTTTTTCCTCACGGCCGTGGAGCGGCAAGGGTCGAGGACGCGTCTATGCAAATGTTACCGAGGCAGTTGGGAATACCCCATGCGTGAAAATTTCAGATGACATCTGCCCCAAGGGGCGCACGATCTATGCCAAATTGGAATACTTTAACCCATTGTCAAGTGTCAAGGACAGGACAGCCTGTGCGATCGTGGAGGATGCTGAGAAGAGGGGTCTTCTGAAGCACGGATCCACACTTATTGAAGCCACGTCAGGCAACACAGGCATTGCGCTCGCAATGCTGTGCGCTCAACGTGGATACCGCTGTGTTATTGTTTTGGCCGAGTCCTTCTCGATCGAGCGCCGCAAGATGATGCGCTTCTTGGGGGCCAAAGTAGTTACCACCCCAAAGTCTGCCGGAGGTACAGGAATGGTCGCGAAAGCGAAAGAGCTTGCAGAGAAGCATGGCTGGTTTTTGTGTCACCAGTTCGAGAACGAGGCCAACGCAAGGTTTCACTACGATACCACAGGCCGCGAAATCCTGCACGATTTCCAGGGTGTGCGGTTGGACTACTTCGTGGCCGGCTACGGCACGGGAGGGACCTTTGGTGGGGTTGGCAAGGCCATTCGAGAGCAAAGGCCATCGGTGAAGCTGTGCCTTGCGGAGCCAATGGAGTCTCCCATGCTGCGGTCGGGAATGGCCACTGAGCGGCGTGAAGACGGCAGTCCTGTCACATCTCATCCAGCCTTTAAGATGCATCCCATCCAGGGCTGGGCACCGGATTTCATCCCAAAGATAGTGGAAGATGCCGAGTTGAGCCCGGGTTACGACCAAGTCGTGCCCATACCCAGTTCGGGTTCTGCTGACATGTCCAGGAGACTGGCAACGACACAGGGTATTTTTACAGGCTATTCTGGAGGTGCCTCGGTGCTAGCAGCTGTCCAGGTTGCCCAGGATGCACCTGAGGGCTCCGTCGTCTTGACCGTCGCTTGCATTTGTTGTTTTTTTCGTTTCCGGGCATGTTCCTTTTGCAGTAGTTGACAAAAAGAGTTGCAGGCCACACGGTTCTCAACTAGGCTAGTGACGCCTAGTGACTGCTAGTGGCACGTCTGCCCAGGTCATTGCAGACACTGGTGAACGATATCTGTCAACACCGCTCTTCTCACAGGTCAGCGCCGACATGAACGAGGAAGAGCTTGAGATCTCAAGATCGACTGCAAGCTTCCAGTTGACGGCACCGTCGTGAATTGCGAAGGTTTGTGATAGGAAATTCTTTCGTGATGCAGTGGCAGCTGCGAGAGCCGTGGCGAGCGATGAACATCTGTTGCTCCCCATGTGAGCGCTGCTGATCCGGCAACTGTCCCACAGCACCAGCTGAATTGCCATAAGCCTCAACTAGTGCAACATCACCCACGGGTACATGTCAGCCAATCATGCATCCCTTTCCGAAGTAGCGGGACAGTCAGACCAGATGCCTCTGGCTTGGGGCTGAACATGCCCGTTTAGCTGAGGGCACGCTGCACTCGAGGAGATTCGATTGCTATGTGTTAAACAGGGGGCGAACCCTGGGAGAGGCTCCGAGCTTTGAGTTTCCTACAGGCACTACATATGGTCTCGTGCGACAAATGCTTTGCTGACCTGCGACTCGTAACAATCTGTGCAGGTACCGCGTCAACAAGAAGCTGCAGCGCTTCCTTTCCGGAGCTGGGCTACTGCGGCCACCTTAAAGCTTCGAGTCTACTTGAGCGCATTCCCCCTCCCAACTATTGCTGCTGCTACTAGTACCACTTCGTTTACTGCTGCTACTGCTACTGCTGCTGCTACTACTACTTCTGCCACGACAACGACGGCGACTACTACTAGTACTAGTACTACTACTACTACTACTACTACTACTACTACTACTACTACTACTACTACTACTACTACTACAAACCTACTACAACTACTACTGCTGATCATGCTAGTACTGGTACTGCTAGTACTACTAGTACTACTGGTACTACTAGTACTACTAGTACGATTAGTACTACTAGTAGTACTAGTAGCACTAGTAGCACTAGTACGACTACTAGGACTACGAGGACTGCTAGGACTACCAGGACTACTAGGACTACTAGTACTACTAGTACTAGCACTAGCAGAAGGTGTTGTCTGACTTCTAGGCGGCGATACCGGTGAGTCAATGCCTCTCATCGTGGAAAGAGGAGAGGAGAGATGCGTGGTTTTTTTCTGTCGCAGTCCCCCACAGTGCAAGTAGAAGTTTTCCAGCGGCTGCTTCCGTGTGAGGCTCGGAGTCGCTGAGCAATGTGTACTTCCAAAGGCTGGGCTTTTGAACTCAGTGTTGGTGCCAGTGATGCAATATGCTGCCGCCCTCAGCCTCTCTAACTCTAACTGTTTCGTTCTTCTTTCGCCGTTCGTTCTCTCCCTCCCTCCCCCCTCTCCCTCGCTCTCTCGCTCGCCCGCTCGTCACAGGCTCTTCGCCACCCGGGGGCCTCGGAGCTTCTCGGCAGTGCGGCGGAAGTGCTGAAAACTCGGCGCCTAGCCGTGGTGACTTGGAATGAACGGTTGGGTTTCCCAGCTTGTTATTGCGTGCGATTTCGGTGGCTCCACGAGCTCCACGTTGCGACTCGCCATGTGAAGGGAACCTGGCCAGGACTGGGTGAGCGGAGAAAGAAGTTTGGTGTGGTTTCTGGGAGAAGCTCTCAAAGACAGCAAAGAAGCACGACTAAACAGGAGTATGTGGATGTGTCTGCTAAGGTCGATGGTGCGTTCCCACCAGAAGCGATTGCACAGGTGCTGCGTGTTCGGGTTATGGCATGGCAGTTTCGATCCAGGGCAGTGAAAGGCGTAATGATTTTCCTTTCGCAGGTGTTGTTCAAGTCTGCTGCTGTTGCACTGATGTTTAGAAGATGATGGGGCAGGTCATGGTTTGAATTCTGGCCGGCTCATTGTTCGGAGTGAACATGCTCAGGTGCAGTCAGAGCTGAGGATGCTTCGGAGCGAGCAGGTTCTGCAGCACCCTAGCTCATGTGGCTTCAGGTACAGTAAGTCTTGATTTGCAAGAGAGCAGCGTATGCCAAGGAACGATGTGAACGACGTCTGCAACCCACTTCAGGACTCGAGAAAGTTTATTCAAGCGATCGCCTTCGATCCTGCAACGTCGCAGTCCTTCGTGGCAACAAGCCTTTTTTTTTTTACCTTTTCCCTAGTTTCAGCAGCCTCGGCCGCAAGCCCTGGAGGAGGCAAAATACCTCCCATATGGGGCCGACGATGCTGCAAGCGCTTTCCGGGCCAAGTGCCCCATCACCATGCAGGCCACAACCCCAGCAAGAGCTGTCCCACGGCTCCACTTCTCGTTGTAGCTTTGGGGCAGGTCACTCGACAACTGGCCGGCCTTGCAGCAGTCCTAGAGGAGCTTCTAGGTGGGAAGTGCATAGCGGGTGTAGGCAAGCCCGAGGTATGCTTACTCCCTGGTGAAGGTCTGGATCTGGCAGTGCCGCAGTCGGTAATGGCTGCTTGCTATCCCCCACATGCGTCCTACAAGATGCACCTGGACAGTTACTTCTTGCAAGGCCGCTCGCTTCGTTAGAGGTTGTCAGCGTTGAAAGCCCAGTTGTAAGACAGGCGATAGCATCCGTTGACGATTCACTGTCAAGACAGGCAGGCTGACTGTTGATGTGGTCCATAGCATGCTCACCCGTTTCTACACTAGCTGCCGCTTGAAGATCAGGGCACCGCCGTTTTCAATCAGCAAGGCAGACTCAAAGCCTGCGCATCACTCTCCTCACCCATGGAAGATCGTGGAAGTAAAAACTATTACGACGCCTCCCCGGTATTCCCCCGTGCCCATCCACAGCAGTCTTCTCAGGCGACTGCTATGTGTGTTGGGTGAGCGCCAAACCCGGCATGTTCGTGTGCGAGCATCGAGAGCTACCTAGGCCATGCTTTTCCCTCTCCTCGTGCTTCTCCTCCTCAGCCCAATCGTCACACCCATTCATTGTGTGTGTTGCGATGGCAGATACTGACTTTGGGCCTTATCGAAGCCAGATGCAAGAAACAACACATATCCGAAACCATATTCGATCCGTGTTTTACTTATTTCCGTGTCGCCTTTGAAGCTGTCCCGCCTTTCTGGTGACCGACCAAAACAGGTCTTTCTTCGAACTAAAACTGTGCTGTTTTGTGGGAGAACTTTGTAGTTGCAAGCACTGGATTTTGTCCGAAACTGGCCGGAAGGTGACGGAAGCTACCAAAACTAGCAGCCGAGGCTGTCCGGATGATGTGCCGCGCAAAGCGGCTTGGCCAAACACCGAATCATTCGCTTCAGCACTCACGTCGCAGTCTTGAGAACGTTGCGTGCTGGCAGGTCACTGTGCTGCTGTACTGCAACCACGGCTGGAGCCCCCAGGTTGGCGGCGAGCTACGGGCCTGGGGACCCTTTGATCAAGGCCGCTTGGCCGCTTGGCGCTTGGGGCAAGCGCCCAGGGGTGCAGGGGAGGAGGCTGAAAGAAACGGCGTCGAAATGCCTTGCCTTGAAGAGGCCAGGGCCCGGCGCAGACCATCGAGCCGCTTCCAGGGCGCATGGTGGTTTTCCTGTCAGAGGATGTTCCTGTTCCGCCCGTTCTGCTTAGGCTCTGCCTAAGGGCTGAATTCTAGAAGCAGGAGATGGGAAGAAGATCTTCACTCATGTCGTTAGAATATGTTAGAACATCGCACAGGGTAAGGCCAGGGTTGCGAGCCTGAGCCCAATCGCACCATTTCAGTGGATCGAAAATTCCTTCTCCCAGTTCATTCCTTTGAGGAGATCTGGCACGAAGTCCTCGAGTCGCACGGCGAGCGTTTTGCGCTGACGCTCTGGGTGCATGACCGTGAACGTGCAGAGCTTGCTAGGAAGTAGCCGAAATCGGAACGGGTCAAGCACATCCACGTCTCGGTCAGCAGACTCTATGCTCGCTGCGATGCCGGCTAGAGTGAAGGCATCACCCTCGAGGGCTCACAAGCCTTTGATAGATAGATGCCAAAGAAGCCTCGGGCCAGTCCCGGCAGCACGGCGAGTCACGGCCCCGCGCGTTACGCAAAAAGCTCCGATCAGTTGTGATGTACCGGCAGCGTCCAATTCTCTGACAGGGCTTCCGCAAGTCGTGACGGGTTTGGAGGGTTGGGGCTTTCTACAGTTCTCTGCAAAAGTGTCCAAGTCCTCCAAGTACGGGTGGCAGTGCTGAGTCCATGCGCACTGCCCGATTGCGCGCGAAGCCCTCCTGGCTAAGGGTTGACAAGTTCAGCTTCGTCGAGGACACCAGCTCCATGGCAGCCTTGTCAAGGTAGGGGACCATTGCAGGCTTGTGCTAGGTGGGAATCCGTTTCTGCCAACGGCTCCCGCCTTTCCATCTCCCTGGCGCCGCAAGTCCAAGCTGCATTTGAGGCACGTCGTCCGCCCAGCTGCGACGTAGGCCGACCTATCGCACTCAGCTGCTGTCTGATCGAATGCCGAAGGCCGGGCTCTGACGTCATTTACACAAATGTCCTTAATGTGCTACTAGTAGCGTGGCAGCCCCAAAGTCCCTAAAGCCTCTCCGTGTCCAGTCGCAGAGCGCTGGCGAGCTGAGGACCCGGTCCCGCACAGAGCAGAGTGACAGAGTGATAGTTAACGTCAAGGCTGCGCTCGGAGGCCTTGGCCCAGGGCGTGCAGCAAGTGCTGTGCGAGGCACATTCCACAAGCCTAACACCTGCAGTGAAGGAAGCTGGGGCTGGCAGGAGGTGGATGGGGATTTGAGCGCAAAAACCGGGCCAGTTAACCCAGCCGTCGAGCAGGATTAGGTGGTCAGCAACATGGCATGCCACGGCAAAGATATCAGAAAATGTTACCACCACAAGAAGTCAGTCTTATGTGCTGCCTGTTGCCTATGCCTTGCGGATGAGGAGCGGGGGCGGCAGCCCTACGTTTGTTTCGACGCCCTCCTTTGTGAATCTGGGAAGAACCAGGCCGCCCAAATTGCGGCTGCGAGAGAGAGAGAGAGAGAGAGAGAGTGTGTCGGGGATCCCACCTGGCCAAGCCGCGCCGCCAAGTCTCACTCAAGACACGAACAGTGGCGTAGCGCTCGCGCGCAGGGGGTGTAGGGGCCTACCCTACCTCCCACACGCCTTGCAAGCAAGCAAGCAAGAGAGAGAGAGAGAGAGAGAGAGAGAGAGAGCACTTTTCCGTAGCCCAGAACAGCTGCATGGGGGGACGTTCCGACCAGATCCCGCTGAGAGCCCTGATGAGTGCCATAGGGGCGCGGGGATGAGGCGCGTTGGGGGTCCCTAGTGTAAAGGGAGGGTCGGGGCTCTCGGAGTGACACCTGGAACATCCCTTGCCGTTTTTTCTGTTGCTTTGAGACCCCATGCAGAAGCCGTCCACTCACTAGTACAGTGTGAGGGACGGGCGGGCGCAATGCCTGAGGGTCGGCCAACCGACCCCTAAGCCCGGCAGAAAGAAAGAGAGAGAGAGAGCGAGAGAGAGCTAGCTGAGTGTGAAGGCAAGCTTCGACATGTTGGGTTGCGCAGTGCCCGCTTTTGCAGTTATGCTGACCTAGTGATTGGCAGCATTCATTTCTTCCGTGCAGGCCTCCAATGGTGCGCTGAGGGCAGAGATGCGCAGAAAAAGTGGAGCAGCCACACAACGTTTGTGTTGCCAGATTGGATGTGGTGTCCCCACATTTGGACTGCAGCCACAAGAGCTCCCAATTGTCACCACTCTTCACCCTAAGGGTTGCGAAGGAGTGAGGTTCGCATCTTTGGGCGCAAGCTGGAGTTGCCCCAACGGTGGCAAGCTTGCGCAGCCTGCTCTTAGCCGGACGGCAACTCCAGATATGAAGCAGCCGACAATCGGCTGGTTCACTTCACGCAAGCGAAGCATTTCACCTCTGTGGGTTCAGGGGAAACCGAAAAGACTTCGTAGCCTCTGCAGGGCGAGCGATCGTGCCTCGTAGATGAAGGACAGGATGCGATCAGCATCGAATCGTCTTACAACACCGGCAGCTCTTGTGCTAGGGGCATTGATTCGAGATAGGTGTGCAGTAGGACCTAGGAATTATATCTCGCAGCTGTATGCATCTCTCCCAGTGCGAAGCTGTAGCAAGATTTGAAGGTTGTTGCGTGCTGCGTGCCAGATCCATTTGAAAGAGCAGCTCGGCTGGCATACTCGACACGGGTGCAATTGGTGACGCCTTTGTGCAAGTGCTCCCCACAGCATCGTCTATCCTTGCTCTTTTGGAGGGTTTGCCTTTGATAGCTGAGGTCATGACCAAAAACGGAGGCCAGAGGATGAAGCACCAAACACGGCTTGTTGGCATATCCTCCGCGTCGTGAACAGGCGGTGTAGAGCCTGTGAAACCAACGGAAGAGGAGGTCGGCCAAGGGGCGAACATGCCGACTGCAAAGCCTGTGCTCCCTGTGATCTTGGTTGTTGGTACATCGGCAAGGCTAGTTTGGAGTGCTCCACTTCGGCGGCGTCACAGGAGGTTCAGGAAGAGGGCAGCCACTCCTCGTTATCCGTTGGCACGCACGTCGGGGCCCTCGCAGGAAGAGCGGCAAGTGTCACGGGAGCGCTCCTCGAAGACGCGCAGAAGCCTCAGCAGGGCTTAGAGGCTTAGTGGTGAGAGTGACGTCGGTCCTCTTGGACGCTGCACCTTGCGGCAGCCGGGCCGTGATATGCAGCGTGCAATGTATACAGGCTTCATACCATACGGCCGCGGCTCTGTAAGGCTGGGCAGATGTGGATTCGGATGAAGATGAAGATCATCATGGCTTCGTTGGTTTCAATGCCAAGACATCATCGCCGGACAAGATGCCTGCGCAGGGTGAGACTCTCGACCTATCTTTTTCTGTTCAGTGGGGGGGATCGGAGGAGGTGAGGGGAGGGGACATGGGAGAGAGGAGAGCGGTTCAATTGCTGTAAAGACGAGGAGCGATGAGGACCATGAGGAAGATGACGAAGACGACAGCGAAAATGATGAAGGTTCAGATGAGCCAGTCGAGGAGGAGTGGCAGGAGGCGGGCCGACTTCAACCTGAATCATTGCTAGAAGTCCGTAAGTTGTGAGCAATTTCAGACAGGGACCTCAATGCGTGGTTATGCAAGATCATCCGAGCCGAGAATGCCAGGTCAAGAGGGAAAAGAAGCCAAAGGCTATGCCAAAGCCAGAGGCAACCAGGCCCCGACTGGGAGCACAGAGCGTAACCGTCGAATGGCATGAGTTTTTTGATGCAGCCTCTCACCAGTCGTGCAGGGATTGCTTCCGTGGGTTGCCACGCATTGCCACACTTCGGCGGACATGGTCGAAGCTGTTCTCCAGGCCCCGCCGAGAGCGCCGGGACCGCGGACGCCGAGGAGGGGAGGACCGCAATCCAAAGAAGGCCATGGACCCATGGGCGTGTCAAGTAGGCTACAGTAGGCTTTTGGGGTGTCTTGACTGATTAACGGCTTTCCTAGCTTCTTCCTGGAAGACGCCATGCACATCCAAGCACGGATTCCCGTCCAAGCAGACATGCGTTTGACTTACGACAGTACCGCCAAAGTTTTTGAAGCTTGCGGACTAACGTCTCAAAGGGTGGAACGACATGATATCGGCGGGGAATGCAACAGTGCACACGCAGTGGCTCAGCAACCTTGTTGCACAGTTTCTGCAAGGCAACCTTTTGGTTAGGATCTTCCAGGGTCTGTGCACAAGTTCTGCACGTTTACGGCACCGTGCAACGCTGCTGCGCTTCGAAGTTGTTCGGCAAACCATCTGCATGTTGAGGTGTCCTGTCAGGGTTCACGGTGTAGTGCTTAGGGTTCGAAGGTAGGGCTTGCGGCTAAGGGCTAAGGGCTTACGGTTTCGGTGTTGGCCATGTGTTATGGCGTGTGTAAGTATCTTCGAAAGCGAACACACGATGTGTGATGCATCTGCCAGTGTGTTCCTCCACGCTGCCCAGGATGGCAGCAATGTGAGTATCAGTGCAGCTCCTCGTTGGTTTCAAAAACCCGTCCACAACGCCTCACCATGTTAATCCTAGCCGTTGATCTGCTGAGCATTGTCGTACCTGCAATGGAAGGACGAAAACGGACAAGAGAAAGAGGGCCAGCAGTCCACGAGGAGCAGATGCCTGCTGTTGCCTGCCGTCCTCTTTCCTGTTACCTTTCCGCTGACATGTAAGAAGCCGTAAGAAGAACCGGTTTCGATGCAAACACACAGTGGCCGCAGGAGACGGAGAGATGGTGACAGGACTCGTCGCGACCGCCGACGAGCAGGCGAGATGTGCAGCCTATGCTGTGGAGCCACGGACACGCAGGCAAACATAATGCCGAGTCAATGTCGCTGCCTGGAGAGGCGGTGGAGGTGAATCCCAGAAGACGCGGCAGGTGGGGTACTGTAGCAGTTGTGGTGGCGGGTTTCAGCCAGAGCATTCGTTTGTTTGGCAGTTTCTCAACCTTAACATATTGCCTTCTGCGTTCTTAGACGCTTTCTGAAGTTTTGTCACTCACTATCTTCTGACCGTTCTGGAGCTAGCTTGCGCGGCCTGCCTGTGCGCCGTAAGTCTGCTTTTTCTACTGGAATCCGTAGCCGTGCTGGAACTGCTACGGTAGCGGCTACGGCTACGGCCGTGTGGGATGCGAGGAGGAGGCGAAGCCGCGTGAAGATTGGAGACGCAGGGACCGTCCGGGCGGCGAGAAAGCGGAGGCCTGGCCTGGGGGCAGTTTCTGCTATCATTTCGACTGGCTTGGGACTTGGGGGTTTTCACAGCAAATTATTTATCCATTCTGATGCATGCAACTCGGAGGCCGCTCCGAAGCCTGTTGAGAAAAAGCCGCCAGCGCGAGAGCAGAAGGCGCCCAGGGAGCAAAAGGAAGCACCCAGGGAACCAAGAAAGGAGAACGGGGCCGGCGAGACCAAGAAGCCCGTTGACAAGCAGGCGCGCAGATGGTCTGCCGCCGCTGCTGCAGCAGATGGGCACATGCACAAAGCAATGTCACTGCGAAGGGCAGCAGGAACTCCGGCGAGGGGGACACTGGTAAATTCCGGCCGCCGAACAGAAGGTCCGATAGTTGGTTTTGCGAGATTTCAGTGGTTCGTTGCTAGCTGCTAGCTTGAGCGCCGAGCGACTTCTTTCAGCATCTTTCTCTTGAGACAGCTGCACCCGCACAGCATGTGCTCTCCGCAGGGCAGCGGTGTTCCACCTAGGTCGCAGGACTCCCAACCGCGCCAATCACGACAGACCTCAGGTGCAGGACTCAAGAGCAGATTTTGCTATGTGTTTTTGGTAAGAGAGCGCGAGATGGCAAGGGGCATTGAAGAGCTCCGCTTAGGCCGTTCAGAGGATGCTGGCCGAAATCGTGGTGACCGACGCAGGCAGCCAAATTCTTCTCTCCCTAGTGGGTTTCTTGCCAAGTGCACGTAGCCTCCCACCCGGTTGCAGACAACAGCTTTCAGCATAGCGAGAAGCATATCTATGCATATTAGGGACATGTTGGGACATATATATATATATATATGTATATATATATATGTATATATGCATGTATATATGTATATATGTATATATGTATATATGTATATATGTATATATTTATATATGTACATATGTATATATGTATATATATATATATGTACATATGTGTATATGATATATGTACACATATATCATATATGAATCTATGAATATATAAATATATGAATGTATGGTTATATGAATATATGAATAAATGAATATATATATATATATATATATATATATATATGTATGTATATATATATATATATATACATACACATATCCATACACGATATATATATATATACATATATATATATATATATGTATGTATGTATATGTGTATATATGTATATATGTATGTGAATATGAATCAAGACTGTACCGATGGAGCCATCTTTTCGGCGTTGTTGCAAGGCTCCCGGCACATGATCAACGTAACGATGCCAGACAGGTAGCAGCAGCCATGTTGTGAACACGGCTCTGAGAAAAAATGAAATTGTCTTTCTCCGGTTTCAACATTTTTTCTCCAAGCCCCGCAGCAGCATGACATTATCCGCACTAGTTCCCTTCGATGTCTCAGAGGATACACAGCCCTGCAGATGGGATAATTCCTGCAGCGGATAGGATGGGCTTGGCTTCGGTCATGCGGGCATTGTCTTCGAGATTTGATGTGCCCGAAGTCCTGTACGATGATCATGGATATCGGAGCCGTCATTGTGTGAAGCCGGGCTGTCGAGGATTTTTGCGGTTGGTGAAAGGAGACTAGGAGTCCACCCCATCAATGCTCTGGGGAAGTATCGAGAACATTCGCAGGTCCGGCAACGGGAACCGAGGCCAAGGCCAGGGCTCCAGTGCCGAGGCCGGGGGCATGGAGTCTGTTGCAACCTGTGGGGGCTTGGCTCTGAACTCGTGTGGATTTCGGAGGCCTGGTTTGCCAGCCGGATGGCTGCTGCAGCCTGGCATGAATTCGATCTGCACAGACTTTCTCCAGCCAGTTCGGACTGAGGCGGCTTGAGTTTTATGACAGACCTCCAGGCACTCTGCTTTGCTGTTGGCTTCTCTCTTGCACGGAATTGGCATGTCTTTGGCTGTCCAGGTTGGGCATGATTCGAGATCTCTCAAGGCATCACCTCTCCTGGCATGAGAGCTTTGTAGCTATGCCGGGGATGTTTGATTTTAGAGTGCCTCAAGCGGCAAGCAATGCGAGACCTGTTCCCACGTAGGCTCATGCTGTCTCCTTTCAGGAGCACATCTCTAAACCACGTGGTCCCCGAGATCAGACACAGTTTGCTAGTCGCAGGGCCAGATAGCCAAGACTCATCGAGAGGTGGCCGATTCTTCTCAGCATCGCCGTCCAGCAACTGCTGCAAAATCTGGCTCGTGTAACTACAAGCACTGCAAATCGCACGGCGATGCTATAGTCAAATCGTACGAGTGCAGCCAACGATGCTGCGACACCTGGTGATCAACTATCAGACTAGCCATAAACAAAAATCAGGTCATACTTCATTCGGACAGGGGCTGCAAGACAATTTTTAAACATGTCGCGAGTATGTTTCCAGCATACTCTGCGAAGTTTGAAGTAAAAAGCAGTCCAGCCCTTTCTCCTGCGACCACTGGGCCAGTTCTGAAGCTCTGGCGCTAAGAACTGTCTCTTGGCTTTTGTAATGCCCGCTCCTTGCTGGAAGCGGCTCTGACAGCGTAGGCGTAATCGCCCGAACCGACACCGAGCTCATGCATAGGGTGCCATGCTGCGTAACAGACACAGGTAGATGCAGAAATGCATGTAGGCGTCTCCATGCAGGCAGTGCGACCAAGGGGCCCATGAAGGTGTTAGTTACTTAGTTGTTTGTGCTCTTTGGTGGCTCCACCCCTTGGGCAGTGGCATGCCGAGCTGAGCTTCGGGGATGGGCACGGCCCATCAGTCACAGTTTTGCCATGCGAGGCAGGGCAGATGTCTAGCCGGTGTTGTGCAACGTTGAAACGCATCTCATGTGGTTGGCGGCGGAAGCCGAGACGATATCAAAGCTGGACATTTGAACCCAGAACATCTTTGGAGAGCAGCGGTCACTGGTGTTTGCAACCCTGACGAGATTCAGACATTCTAGGTATGGTTGCAACCAACTCATCCTTGCCAGCATTCTTCGCCGCCAGAACCTCTTACCTGGCCTGCAAAAAGGAAAGGCTGAACGAGGTCACCATGGTTGTCTAAAGAACCTGAGGTTCAGGACTAGGCCAGCTGACAGAGGCCAACGCTATGCCTCTGAGCTGGTTCAAGAGGATCTGGCGTGTTGCGTTGCGGACCTCAATTTTGACCTGAGGCCGTTGCGGCATTAAATTCCCAGCGTTCCATCATGCCGCTTGCCCCGCGGCATCTGTAGGATGTGTGCGGGTGCTCGAGTGCAGTGGACCGGTGAAATTCACCAGCAAGAACAGAATATTCGTCGGCCAATCGCTTGAGAATGTCGGAGTCCGCGATCCTTGAGCGCTTTGCAACGTCTGCTGACGAAGAAAGTCGTCAATGAATTGATGCCGGCAGGCGGTGCGAGCTTGTCAGACAAGTTTGACAAGCTTAGCATAAGTGCGACTACGAGGTTCGATCTTGGGCAAGTGCGAAGCACGAGGCAATATGTTAGCAGCCGGAAGTGGTGAGCGTCTACATCCACTCGCTGCCCGTTTGAACCTTGCCGGCACACTTTCTCCTTACGAGCCGTGCGAAGCCTACAGCAGTGCTAAGATCTTCTGCCTTAATCCAGAGCCAGCACGATTTTTACCGGAATCTCGAGAGCTGACAGTGTTGAGATTGTCGATGATCTCGGGAGCTTTCTTTGACCATCATGTAAATGACATTTCAACTCCAAAGCATGGACTTGGTAGTGGTTCAGAGAGGCTTCCGCGCTCTGCTAGAGTGCATCTCTAAATTTCATGAGCGCATGTGGCCTGCTAGAGGCCGAAAAGGTGTGGGAGCCATCGCTTCTGCTGTGCACAGTCTGTCACCATGCAGCGATCCGCCCTGAGCCATTTGCTTTGATGCGGGCTTTGATGCGCACTTGATGAACACCGCACTTACGAGGATATTGCGCCAGTCACCCTGCGGTTGGTTTGTATGCTCTGTGATAACCAGAAGGGATCTGGAACGAGGGCTGTGCAGCGTCGGTGTTTCGGATCAAGCACTTGAATTGTCACTGTGTCGTGTTCCCGGACGGTTAGAAATAGCGGGCAGCTGAAGAAGTATCATAAGTAGCTGGTTGCGGTTGGCGCCCGTGAAGGCACAACAGGTCGATCTTCATGACAGGTTACCTCATCACATAAAGTCTGTCCGACATGGCTTTGGTGCTGAAGAGCCACGGTCATCGGAGTTCCGTCCGGCGGCTTCTGTGCTGGAGAAGAGGGAAGTGAAGGTGTTGATTGAAGCTTTCGTGGCCACTGCCAGCTTTCGAGGCAGTTGGGGGCATTCTGATTTTTTGCACTGAGGCGTACGGACCATGCCATCTGCCAAGCAGAAGGCGGAGTCACAAGCTTCGAGCCCAGAGACGGCTTTCAGCACAGCCGCAACGTTAGGATAAACAGCGCGCTTCAAGTGTTCTAGGCTTTCGGACCAACCAGCCAAGTTGAAGAGCCCTGGCTCAAAGGACGACGAGGTCGCTTGTCGCCTGCGGGTCTCGAAACGGAAGGTATTCTCCAGTGTAGACCAGAACTGCCCAAACGACTAGGCGAGCACAGAAATCCTTCAAGAGTCTTCAGCCTGCAATTTTGCACAGTCGACAGCATCTTGCTTCGCTTCCGCGCTATGATGATGGCATGGAGTCTCGCATGCCTTCCGCTCCGAGTTTCAGGCCAAGTGAAAGTGAAAGCCATGCTGTGCCAGTGCCTGGCGGACTTGATGGCGTAAAGCCTGAGCATGTTTTCATTCACAATCTTCCGGCTCGGGCCACCCAAGACATGCTGCTAGCCTTCGTGCGCGAATTGCATGCGCCACTGCCTACACTCCTGAAGTTTCCAACGTATGCGAACGGCAAAAGCCGGGGTTATGCTTCGATGACATTTGCAACTCCGGAACACGCCAGCCGGTTTGTGAGAGCATCGTGGCAACAGCATTTGCCAGGGTTTCGCAAGCGTTTGCCACTAGCATGTGAGCCGAGCTTGCGGAAAAGCGGCTTGCTTGAGGCGCTAAACGAGTTTGGATTGCCGGGTGAGGCAACCTGCCCACTTTCGCGGCAGGCGGAACCGGAAGCAGGGGCTTTGACATGGAGGAGTGCTGGTCAACCGTGCCAACATGCTATCCCCGAGTCGCTGGAAATCCGATTCAACCAGGTGCTGCATCTCTGATTCAGAATTTCTCATATCTGAGCAGGGCAAACTGATGTCCTGGGATTCAAAGCGGTTCAGGGCTCTGCCGGCCCCAGCCCGTGGCTCCAAAAAGGGCTCGTCTGCTCGCCAGAATGGTCCATGCGTCCATTCGCGTAGTTCTGAAACTCCCTCTGTTTTGCTGTACTGTAGCGAGTGTTCTGTGGGAATCCCGTAGTAGGTGCTCCGTCACTTGGGTTGTACTATTCAATTATTCGGGCCAGTGGGCATTTCGTATCTTGCGCAGAGCGCGGCTCACTACGCCCGTCCTCTTAAACTTGCGTTTCTAGATGCCCTAGATGCCTTGTGTTTTGGTTTGCATTGTCTGTTTATAGTTGGTCAAAGCCATGCGGGGCAGAAATCTGCCCCTTCAGTTCGAGTGCTAGACTGACTCTTCTCTTTTTCGGGTTCAGCTTGACATGGATTGCTTTGTCCGCTTGAGTTACATGCGCTCGAACTGTCACCGCCTGTTCTGCGAATGCAGAACCGTCGTTTGGCAGTGTCCGAGTTGCGAGAGCACAGCGCGGAATGGAAAGGGCCAAGTGAAGTCTGCGAAAGAGAACGCATCATTTTGTTTCTTTAGCTTCGTTCTCCTTCCTAGAACCATCGACGTGGTCCTAGTAAATTCCGGGTCCTAGCCCTAGAGCTCAAAATCGGAGCTCCTGGCGATTGCTGCCTTGCTAACTTCAGCGTCAGGTGCGCACGAGTATATTCGAACCTTCTGAAGACAGGCAACCGCGATTGAATGGCATTGGGTGGGCGTGGTACCGTCCCCGAGGTGAGGAGAATGATGAAGCAGCGAAAAACGCTGTTGTAGAGGCGCCGGCCGAGAGCAGCGTGACGCTGATCATGGCGCAAGACCTGTGGTGACAGGCACATCCAGGTTTCGTGAAGTCGCTCAGCCCGGTCCTGCGCTTAGTTCACCCCCTGCTTCAAGGAGCAAAGCAAACGCAAGTCCGCTTGTTGAGCAACCTGTGTTAGCTTAGCTTAGCATGTGTCGGATGGCTTTCTGGCGAACCTTGTTTGTCACCGGCAGTGCGGCAGTGCGTGCTTGCAAGCTTCTGTTGTGCCTCCGCTCCTTTCAGCTGCCGCTGGAGCAGAACACCGTACACCTGGTGAGCCGGATGGGCTTCGCAGAGTGTCTCGGCTGGCACCTAGTGACCTAGTGCTTTTGAACAAGCAACGCTTTGCGACCCTCAAGCCGCTGCCTGTTGGCCTCTCGCTCCTTTCAGGGGACAGAGGGACTCAAGAGACTCCCCCTCCCTCCCTCCCTCCCTCCCTCCCTCTCTCACTCTCTCTCTCGCTCTCTCTCTCTCTCTCTCTCACTCTCTCTCTCTCTCTCACTCTCTCTCTCTCTCTGCCTCTCTCTCTCTCTCTCTCTCTCTCTCGCTCCCTCACTCTCTTTGTCTTCCGGTCGTTTCAGAACATGCCCAAAAATGCGTGCAAGGAAGCGGGTTTCATACTGAGGGACTGCAATCGCAGAGACCAGCTGGCACTGACACACTCCAGCAAGCTGAGTCGATCGAACGAACAGATGCTTCAGCCACCAGTGTTTGCTGCAGGGACGCCAGATGAAGTCCTTACGAATGGGATAGGACAGATGCCAATGCCAGCAAATCACGATAATGAGAGAGACTGAGAGTGACATCAGAGGTTGCTAGCAAAGACAGCAGAAGCATTGCTGAGTGAGCTTTGGTTTTGTCAGTGGAGTCGAGGTGGTGGACCAAAGTGTTGAGGTGGAGTTGCAGGGGTACTGCGTGCTGCGTGTTCTCGTGCCGACTGTTGCTGTGAGTTTGGGCCCCTTCTGGGATCGAGGGGAGAAGGTGACACATCTTCCTTACCCCTGCCGCAGAAGAGAGATCCGGCGGCATGAAGGTGGAGGCAAGCAACGACGAACCAACAGAGCACAAACCAAGATTGTGCTCCGACGTTTGTTGCGAGTCCTACACAACAGACTTTGGACTTGGACACTGTTATCCACCTTTGGACAGGGCTGGCAGGAATGCAATTACACGCATGCATGAAGGAAACATGGAAGCAACCGGGAACGCCAAGGTTCCTGCCCGGGGCTGCCGTCCACATAGTAGAGCCTCGGCTCATGTGTTCTGATGTGAAAGCTCTTGACTGAAGTCCCTGAGCTTTGGGCCTTCGAATATCCTTCGTCTCAGGCCGCCCTCGTCGGGCTTGTACCCCTCTCTGTAGGCTATTCGGTGGCAAAGCACGGGCCTCGAGAGAGGGTTTTTCGTGTTCCCGCTGTTGACACACCGCACCCAGGCTGTGGAGCCTTGGGGGCTGGCGGCTGGCGGATTCCCCAAGCTTCAAGGCACGGTGACAGCCCTCTCTCTCTTGAAACGATTCCGCAAGCTGAGATTGTCACGATGCTCCATGTACTGTTTGTGCTGCGTGCTGCGTTGCAGGCTGGATGCTTTGGCCGCTGCCCCGTATTTCTAGGGGACACCGAGAGGAGACTGTTGCACGCTACTACAGGCTTCATCTACGCGAACGGCATCTTTCCAAGTGTTGCTTGGAATCGCACCGTCGAAGGTTTGGCACAGGGTGTTTTCTTGGTTCCCGTGATGCTTCAAGGAAGTCGTCCAGCTAAGGTGTTCTGCGACTATGGCAACGACAACTTCGGACCGCTCCCGGCAAGTGAGGCAGACCAGCAAGCGATGCTAAGGCCAGCTGCACGGGAGCCTGCGACATGCAGCCACATGTGAGACCCGGCCAGGTCCACTCCGATCATCGTCGCCAATCACGTGAGCTACCTCGATGTGCCTCGCACGAGAGCGAAGAGAGGGGGCGATGTTAAGCTGCTTTTCCCATCCCCCGATGCCGATAGCAGATTTGGACTGGAAGCACGGAAAGACGCTGTCGCTTGCAGAGGTGGCCCACAAACAGTAGCTGCATGACTCTTGAGAGGTTATGGTGCTTCCTCTCGCCTTGCAGATGCCGAAGTTCATGTCGAAGGTGAGCGTGCCGGTGTTTTTCATACCCGTCCCGGCAGCATTGCAGGGCTTTCTGCAGAGGCCGGTGTGCGGAATGCGCCTCTGTTCGGCACACTGGGAGATGACCTGGAATACATCTGGGTCGCGGGCCATGGTCTTTGTGATCGTATGAAATCGTGTAAGCGCAGGGGATTCTCTGAGGTGGATCGTGGATCGAAGGACGCACGAGGTGCTGCGTTGGGAGCCATCCATGAGCATGCCGGGCCTTTAGGGTGCAGTTGCTTCCTGCAGGCTGTGCGAGCAGCTTTCTAAATCGTCGGTGCTACTTTGAGGTCGCAGGCTGGAAAGATGGAGATCGACCTCTATTGATCTTTCCGGAGGTCAAGGGCGACATTCATTCTGTGAGAGAGATTACTTGCCGCACGGCCTGTGAGGGAACCACTTCCAATGGCGCATCGCTCCTGGAATTCAAACAAGGACGCTTCCTTGGACAGTTTGGGGGGCAGTTGAACCAGTGTCCCACGACCTTGGCAGACCCAATCCTGCGATCTGCTTCTAGTGATTCCAACTTTCAGGTGCCTTCGTTTCGGGTGCTCCCGTGCGCCTTAGCTGTTCAATTGGTATGTGAGGGACGGCAGCTCCTTGTCAGAGTCCAGCATTGCCGGCACACCTGGGTCTGCCGAGGCGGCCTGTGCTCTTGAAGCACTTCGGCTTGGAAGTATGGTCTTGGTCTGTCGTGTTAGGAGCTTTTGTATATGTAACTTAGTTTGGGCTTGGGGCCCAAACAAGGCACACGGGTTCCTGGAATCCTGCCTGCACGGCTTCTTGGCGACGTTATCGGCCTGGATGCACCGCCTAGTTTGATACAGAAAGCTTTCAATGTGCACACAGTGCCGTCGCAAAGCGGAGGATTACCTGATGACCGACGATGTCCAGAGCTCGTCGATTTTCTGTTCCATCCCACAGCCATATCGTGGGTGTGCTTGGGCTTCTCGGACTTCCAACTGAGGGCCAACGTTCCTTGTACTCTGACGGCGAATGGGCCACTTGGTTTCATTGGCTTCCAGCCTGAAGTCTGCATAATACTTTCTTTTGACGCCTTCCGCTCCAAGCATGTTGAATGCCAGTAGCTTGCCGATGCGTGAATGCATTGGACACTCCTGACTGCAATCGAGGCAATGAACTTCTGGGCGCACCTCTTGCACAGCTGTACCGTCTTCGTTTGCGAGTGCCCGGGTATTGAATGCAGTCCCCCCCCTCCGCTCGTCACTCTTGCTGGTGCGCAGAACTCCGGCGATAGCAGGGAAAGCGCATGCGGAAACTACTCTGAATCTTTTTGTCCGCCGAATTTCAACGCGACCTTGCATTGGAGATGCCGAGGCCATATTATCCATCTGCTGAAGAGAAGGTTTCTTGGAACCGACATAGCAGAGACGCCATGCCTCCTGGTCCTGTATGAAGCCTACTGCCTAAGACGTAGATGTTCTGATTGCAGGCGGTCTCTCCAAGATGTGTCCAAGGGATCCAAGTAGCAGCTTGCTGAATACCATTTTCCTGAGTTCAGGGCTGCATCCAGTGTCGGGGTGAAGCTTGACTTCATTGGTAATGGGTCTTTAACGGATGCAGGGGCCTTTGTCACTCCCATGCCTGAGACTCATTCTAGGACTGGGGCAGGCGGAACAGGTCCGGGGGCTTGCCAATTTTGCTCGCTGTCGATGTTCGCGTGGTCCTACATGTTGGCGTAGGAGACCACTCTTGCAAACGCTTTGTATCCAAGTGCTCAACAGGACAGGAGGCCAGAACACCCGCTTGCCCCTGCAGCACCCCTGCCCGACCCCACCCGTTTTATCCCGTTTTGCCTATTGAGTCCGACCTACTTGACAGCCCCTTTTTCACTCCGTGCGAGTAGGCGCCGGCATGGGAAATCCCGAGGTGAGCCCCAAGCTTTACGCATCGAACGTACGCGAGTACATGCTGGAGAAGCAGCGCGAGCTCGAGCCACTCTGTTTGATTACTGGGTGATGTTCAGTCGACAGCACGAAGAAAAGCTTCAGCTTTCACTTTGTCAGACTGTCGGCATCGGTCGTTGCCAACCGCTTGTCCAAGTGTGAGTGCACTCAACGCCCAACGCCCTCGATGTTAAAGGTTTGAGTGGACCGTAGTTTCTGTTGGGTATAGGAGTCCTTGGTGGTTTGGTCTAGTAGCACACTTTCAGTGGTTTGCTTTGGTCCAGTCATTGTGAAGCCTGGCTTGTGCCGTCTACGGCTCAAGTCCGCTCTCTTCTGATCTGAAATCGAACCCCTGATTGAAGGTGAAGACGGAATCCCTTGTTCAGGGGTCCAGTAGATGCAGCAGTGTGGAAGGGCGACTTCGCCACGGTGGCTTGTTAGAAAACACCAACGATCGCTTTCAATCCTTCTCGCGATTCCAGATGAAGGAGACGGGTTTGTCCGCACGTTTGAAAGACAGTCAGACCCCGGGGCCTAGTGCTTGTCCTTGCTGGGTGGGCTGGTGCTGGAAAGGACCCTCGGAGGGCGGCACTAAGAGTCGTGGATGACTCAAGGAGCACCCCCCCCTTTCCCCACTTGGTGGCACTAGGGCGACAGTGCCGTGTACTTCCGACGACGACTGCGAGAACTGAGTCGGGCACCATGCGCTACTTGTACGACACATCCGCGATTCATTTTGGGACCCAGACTCGAAACAGACACCATGGACACTGCAGTATTCCAGGTTGGAGTGGTGGGGCTCCCTGGTCCACGACACCGGACCTCCCCAAGTGCTGCCGCCTTATGCCAGGTCGCAGCCGCGGGGCTCCCTGGTCCAGAACATCGCCCGCTGCTGGGAACACCCCCTTACAGCTCACACTCCTCACGTGCAAGTACACAAATCTTGCTACTGCAGCCATTTGCTTGCTTGCCTGCTCTGCATGGGGCCTTGACGTTTTCGGAGCTCCGTGCCCCGCTTGCATCTTAACCGCTTCGGTGACGGAGACAACGCGGCTGCCCATCCCCTTGCCGGGGGACGCCCTCCCTCTCTCTCTCTCTCTCTCTCTCTCTCTCTCTCTCTCTGTCTCTCTCTGTCTGAAAGACAGACAGAATCGGACCGGCTTCGGCAGCTTCGGGGTCATAAGAACTTGCAGATGGACGGCGCGTCGTCGTGACATGTCGTGCATTGCATGCGCGGCTATTTGCAGATCAAGGTGCACGAGTGGGCCGGCAGCTCGTGGAACGGGCCGATAGCCAATTCAACTCCTGTTTCTCAAGATCGGGGGCACGGCCGGCAAGGTCTTGGAGCCGATGCGCATGGCAGCTTGGTACTGGTGGTCTTGAAAGGCGAGTCAGGATGTTGAGACCTAATGAGGCAATAGCAGCAGCTGACGCCCATGGTGAAGGAATTTTCTGTCTCTTCGGGAAATGGACAGGCCCTGCTGATGATTGGGGTCCAACACGATCGGTGGTGGCTGTGCAAGAATCCGCCGGGGTGCAGTATACTTCGTAAACACCACAGCCAAAGACAGGATCCTCGCAACCGAACCTGCGACTTCGACACAAAGCGACCTCGTACAGGCTCGAACTACCGGCACGTTCGCAGCGTCCCGCATGTACGCTGCGCTAAGTGGTGGAGCTGGAGGTGCATGCTCTGGGATGATGCGACAAAGAAGCTTCAAGAGCTGGCCAGACGTTGTAGTAGGTCAAATTGAAGAGAGCCACCTCCCAGTAATCAGTAAGTAGAGCTTCACTTAGCAGCGTCCGAGTGTGAGATCGTCAGCATTCGGCACTGAAAGCAAGGGCTTCGCCTAAGGCTTGTTTGTCGTGCCGATCGACGTCCCAATCCGGGTGGCCTCGTGCGCGATTGGCAGCTTGGCAGAAGCATGCAACAGCAAAGTTTGGCATCGCCAGACCGGAGCGAGGCGACGACACCTGCGGCTGCAGCGCTTGGCGGCCGAGGCGCTTTTTTGTCTCACCGCCGCACTCCACCCGAACTTGACGTTGACGAGGGTTCGCCGCGTCGGCCATCCTCAAAAGCGTTCGGTGTGCTTCAAGTCTCGGGTCGTCAATGAGCTCAGATGAGCTTTTGCAGCTGGCAGTGGGAACCGCTGCCAAAGACAAACATCAGTACCGCCGACACCAGAGTCGGCGTTGAGAGATCTGACACTGGTTGCAACTTCGGTCCTCCGGCTCACATCCGCCTTTTGTCATGCCACCCTCGAAAGTAACAAGTAACGTGACGGCTCCGGATGTGAGACCAATATCTTGAGTTCGAGGCTACCACTCGCTGGCAATGGGGGGGTGCTAGTCTTCAGACGCGCCACAAGTTTCAAGTGATGTTCAGCCGTGGGGAGGCCTTGGAGCCTCGAAGTCGGCTGAGGCACGCGACAAACACAGAGCTGCATTGCATGCCTTCAGCCTTCACCAGTTCGAACTGAAGCATCGCAGCCCGAGGATGCGGCTACAGAAGCGTGGCCGTGAAGGAACTCAAAGTCCGAAGGCGCGTGGACATGCACCAGTGGACTTGCAGCAGTCTTGCTTTCCTGAGGCTGGCTGAGCACCACCTGAGCGCCTCAGCTTTTCTTCACTTGTGCTTAGATGCCCCTGTGGTGCAAAGAGTCCCCTTTGAAGAATTTTACCAGTCATCGCCGGGCACGATGCAACGGCAAACAAGAAAGTGCCCGACGGCGACGGACGCTATTCCTTGGGTTGTGGCATGTTTGAAAAATTTACCTTGAGTTGAGTGCCCGACGTCACGATACTTGCCAGGAAAAGTTGTACAGCTGCTTGAAATCTGACATGATACCTTCTTAATCCAAGAAGCACGATGAGCCCAACTCGTAGCCAGTCCAACTTAGACGACCTTCTTCGGTTGTACATTGCCCTGAGGGCATTGGTGCCTGAGTTTCGTTGAAAGCTGAAGGGTACAAAACTGAAGTGAGTGGGTTGCTGTTGTTGTTGCCGAGTGTTCGTTGTTTTTGAAAGCCCGGGGGGGGGGGGGGCGGGACAGCCTAAAAAAGGGTTGGGCACGCTGAAATCCAAGATGTCACAAGTTCGATGTTTGCTCAGATCTTGCATGACTGTCGCATGAGAGGGTTTTCTCAGGGGTGTTTGGTTTGGCAGAGTGTTGAAACGGTTAAAGACACACTTTGGTTTCTGGAAATCTCTCCTTGGTGCCTGAGTCTCGTTGACAGCGGCAGCGGTTTGGTGTTTGGGGGGGAGGGAGGCGAGGCGCCCACAAAAAGGGTTGCATAGTGGCGAAAACAAAGATGACATACACATTCGCTGCAGTTTGTACTCAGATCTTGCAGACTTTAGGAGTGTTGTTTTGGTGCTATGTTGAGTTTGAAACCGAAGAGGGACATAAACACTGTCTTCGGGTTTTATATTCACCAGGCCAACTTAGACGAGCTTCTTCGATTGTCCATTGGGCGTTGAAAGCGGAATCGGTGCAGAAGCGGAGTGAGTAGGTTCGTGGGAGGGTTTGTGTCGTTGGTGAGTGTGGGTGTGTGTGTGTGTGTGGTGTGGGGGGGGGGGGGGGGGGGACGACCAAAAAAGGGTTGGGTACTGGTGAAAGCCAAAACGATACGAATTCGCAGCAATCCTTGCTCAGATCTTGCATGAGGTTAGCTTAGGAGCGTTTTGCTTAGTACTACGTAGGTTGAGTAAGACGATCCAGAACATGCAGAAGACCCCGGAGCGGTGTAAGCAAACACTTCCAGATATTCAACCTTGCCTTGGATATCCTTGAATAGCTCAGGTTACTTTAAACGTTGCCGGTATCGCGTCAAACGTTGCCGGTATCATACGAAGCTAATGGGAATCGCAAGTAGCTTCGGCAATCATTTGCGTGTATGCTGCTGGTCCCTCAATGCCTTCCGATGTGCGCAGTTTCTCAGCAGGCATGCGAATCGACATGCGCGGCATGTGTTCGTCGTGCAGTGCTGCAGCTTCCTCTGGAGGATCGACTGCCAGCGGGCATACCACAGTCACAGGAAGAAGCAATCTCACGGCCTGGCACCGAGTTTGGTCAAGCTCGCAGCAAGTTATTGCCCAGACAATGTTCACAACACAGTTGTAGCTTCGTGTCGGAACCAGATGCGTCAGCGGTTTCTACACACTTGCTACTAATGGCCACCTGAGTTTCTGGTCAATTCAACTACGAATAACGAATAATTAACAATTAAGAGAGGCCGAAATGTTGGGCTGAAGTCGTTGGGGCCCGCTCGGGTTCTAGATACTCATCTGCCCGGAGGGCTTCGAGGATTCCAAGAGCCTCAAGGGGGCGCGAGGCGTTGCCGAGGACTGGGATTTGCAAGCATTGGAAGATTTTGAACTCGGAACTTGCGCAAAGACCCAAGATGGGTGAACCCGGCAGTTTCCGAAACATTGCCGTTCAAAACTTCGATGCAGCTCCCTTGCGAGGACGTCTTGACAGCCACGCTGCGTCGCGAGTTCGAGGTCATTCCCAACCTCGACATCTCTGCAGTTTTGCATCACAACCCCTCCAAACATATCCGTTCTCCAAGAAACGGTAAACGGCATGCATGCTTCTATTGCAGATGCATACTTGTCTTCAATCCGGCATCCAAATGTTTCCGTTGCCAGCTTGCACACAGTACCCCACGTGTCGCCCATGTTTCCTTGCTAAATTAGCGCCTACATGTTATCCTGTAGATCGACTATCGAAACGCAGGACGTGATGCCAGACGTCTCTTTGAAATGGTCCTTAAACATCTACGTGACGCTTACTTTTTGGTATTGACATGTGCATGTGTCAGCAAGTATGTAAGTTCGTTCCCTCTGCCTGTCAGCCTGCCTGTCTGTCCGAGTCTCTATGTACGAATACATGCATGGATGAATGGATTCATGTATGTGTATGTGTGTGTCTCACTCTCTTTCTGTCTGCATTTTTTGTGCCTGTAAATTTATCGTTGAGAAGCATGACTGTGTTCGTGTGCTCTGAGAACGAGCTTGCAGCATGGCAGGCTTTGCGGGGAAGTGCTGCTGGCAGGTCTGCATGTGCACGCTTGCATTCGCATATGATTTGCGGTACCTGATCTTACAGCATACGCATAATTCACGAACAGACCTTGCCAAACGTTGCAAGGTTTCCGGGTTTCCTGGCTGCTTGCACGGGCTCAGTCTCAGTCGACTGCGAGCCATTAGCGCCACGGCGCAGGTCACCGGGCTTTACGAGACTGCCGGGCCGGCGCTTGGGCAAGATGGTCCGGGCCCAGCCAGGGTCAAATCCGAATGCGGAGCGCAGCATAGCGGCTTAGCGCAGCCGGCTGAGGTTCGCACCACCATGAGGGAGGCGGCCTTTGCTGTCGGCATGTCACCAGCCAGGCCTGCTGGATCCCCATCCCGGAAGAACCAAGTGGGGAAAGATGCGGGGCCAGGCAGCCGCCCGGCACCAGCCCGGTGCCCTCAGATGCAGTGCTCGGGACCGACTTTGGGCATTCGCGCTTCATGTTTGTCGTGCTCACGTTTGAACTTACCAGCAAAACCTCTGAAGGATCGCCAATGTTTGCGATGGGGAGGGGAACGCATCGTGGCTTGGCCATGGCAAGATGCCAAGTCTCGGTGCCAAATCGCTACATCGGCTACAGTAACAGAGTCTCGGCCACGTTCTTCGTCTCAGCCTGCAGCCTGCCTGGCTCAATACTCTGCAGCCACGGCCATGGCGCAGAAGGCGATTGAAGTGGTGGTTGTGTCCGCAAGGCCGAGCTGAATTCTTTGCGCGTCGGTTGAACAAAATCGTGAAACCACGCCGTCTGTTGATGTTGGAGAGTACGGCGTGTCTGTGGATCTCAGGCGTACGCCCGTGGGCAAGTTTGGTGGGTCCCTGGCCGCGGTGCCCGCACATGTGTTGGGTGCCAAGGTTATCGGAAACTTGCTTGGTGAGCCTTGGCAGGGACTAGAGGCATGGGCCAGTTTCAGTGATGTTCGGCCAGAGCTGGTTCAAGCGAGTGCAAGAGCAGCGCGCCCGAGCATGGTTGTGACTGTAGCAACTGTAGTAACTGTAGTATTCTGGTAGTGCAGTTTCTGTCAACGAACTGAGGACACAGTGGGCAAGGTGAGGAATGATATGGTTGACGAGGCGCTCAGGTTTGATTATCTTCGAGCTTCCTACTGCATCGAACCATGGAGTCGTTTTGTTTGCACCCTTTGCCCGAATCATTCTACTGCGCAGTGAACGGCTTTAAGAGCTTCAGGTCATCATCGGACAGGTGCTTACCGCCGGCTGTGGCCAAAATCCAGCACGGCAGGCCAGCAGGCTGTGGGCCAGAGGTCACGAGAAAGCAAATGATCTCGTCCAAACGAGCGTCCAGAAGCCGATGCTTTGAGTTTTTCACCCCTTACCAAAACGCTACTTTCTGTGTTGCAGGCATGTCTTCTTCCAGTTTGCACCAAGCTTCAGGCCAGAGCCAGAGCCTGTCTCCACTCATCCAGGCAGTCATAAGCGCTGGACTGCCGGAGACCTGTCCGGCCTTGACAATCAACAAGGCGGAGACGCGAAGCAGCGGTTGTGTCGATTGCTCCATGATGTGCCGCAGGTTTGCGGGAGCGGGCTGAAGGCTTTGCACCTCGGGATGCAGGCGATTGCATCAGGTGCCCTGGCTTGATTGTACCTTCAGTGGATGCTAGTGTTGGTGTTTTGTGACGAACCTGTGTACGGTTCTTGCCCCGAGGTGATGCTCAAATCGTGATTGCTGGTGGTCAGGAGACTGATGCAATGTGGCGTGAGCATGGGGCGGCGACTAGTAGAGGATGCTTGTCTTCAGCTTCTCTGTCGCACCCTTCAGGAGAGCATGTCATCCAGTCCGCACGTGCTGAACAAAAGCAGGGACGGACAAAGAATGGGTGATTGGCTACTTTGCCTGCGTAAGCGGCTTCCGCAGAGACGTCCATAGAAAGTCACTGGCAGTTGTCCACAAGCAAGGAAGATGATTGATTCAATGATCGTCGACGGGTTGTGGCGCCTGAGAATGCATGGCAGATTCGGTAAAGCCACTGTATGACAGAAGTCGAGTGAATCGAGCCTGGAGCGAAGTCGCCGATTTCCGTGAAGAGAAAGGGACATGCAGCTACGGATCTCTTCAGCTCAATACATGGCAAGAGGAAGCAGATAAATGGCGAAGCAAAGGTGTGCCTTTAACCAGTACCACATGGGTATCACCGCCGAGAACGTGGCAGCCAAATTTGGCATTGACCGCCACTTCTCGCAGAATAGCTGGTACTGTTTTTTGCGTGTCTTAGTGACTTAGTGTTGGGCAGTATCCGTTTGCAGTTTGTTTGTTACCCTCATTGATTGGCCGGAAGCCTGCCAGATGCAGGGATTTTCCTCAGGATCTACGCAGGATGCTTTTGCGACAGCATCTCAGAAGAAGGCGGCAGACGCTCAGAAGGCCCGGCCAGAGTTGTTGAAAGCTGCAGAAGGGGACACATGAATCAAAGGCTGAATCATTTGGGTTTTTACCCCAGTTGCTCCCCGTCTCGGCTCCATAGGTTCAGTAGGACTTAGCATGCACCAGTGTCTGCAGCAATCTGAAATCCAGTCCGGGTCCTGGCAAACATGCAGCTGCGGCGCATTTTCCTCGCATGTTCCTGTACTGGAGCCGGTGCGTGTCTAGTCTCTGCCTCCACCAGGCCAGCAAGCGACCCAAGTCAGTGCCCCTGACCCAGTTTAGGCGGAAGTAGAGGTTTGGTCCAGTAAGAAGGTTCGGCTTTCTAGGGGTTGGCCCAGCCAGCAGCAGGCGGGAAAGTTCAAGGACCAGATCGTGCCCATCCCCACTTCCAAGAAAGGCCGGAGGAGTTAAAGTCAAGACTACCGTTTGGACTGCCGGTTCTGACATGCCTTGAGGTCAGGTCTTGGACCAGGACGAATACATCAAGGCAGACTCCACTGCAGAGCAGCTGGCAAAGCTGAAGCCCGCCTTCAAGAAGGCAGGCTGGGGTAGGGTGCAGATGCGTTGTATAAGCACACATCGCCGTGCAAGGACGGCTCGGTCACAGCAGGCTCGGGCACCTTTGAAAGGGCAAACTCACCGCCTGAGGTGCACTGATGTACATTTTGCGTGCGCTAAACTCAAACCTGGCGAGCAGGCAATGCATCTGGCCTCAACGACGGGGCGGCGTTATGCTTGCTGATGTCTGCGTCCAAGGTCGGGAAGTCGAAGTCCCCAGCACCTATATATGGTGCAGCGCTGCTCCCCCTCCCCCCCCACCCCATGGTATCCCCCCTGCCCCTCCCCTGTGCTTGCGGTCAGCTGCACGGTTGCTAAGGGTTTGGACCTTAGGATGTGATACAATTCCACTAAGCTCTGACCTGCCCTGAGCTCCAAAGCCAATGGTAGTGATGCATATGATGGTGATGATGATCACGAAGATGGTGGTCATCATCCCCATCCGCACTCTCCTCCGGTCCCTTGCTCAAGAGTCCCGAATGAAAATCATTCAAACACGCTCAAGCTTACTTTTCACGAACCCAACCAAAACTTGGCTTGGAATGACAACGATCGATACAGTTTTCGCAAGAACATCACAAGCCAAGCACGATTTTCAACGAAAAAGCAATGAACATGCGGTGCCGAAGCCCGGAGCAACATAAGAGCAAAGGTATCAACATCATTGTGCACAACATCATCCCCATCACTCTCATTTGCGTGTCGAAGGGAGGGGAAGGGGAAGGGGCCCTGTGGTTCCCTGTGTGGGTTATCCTTCCCCACCCTGCCCCTGTGGTTCCCCCGTTTGCCAAGGCGGGAAGCCAGGCTTACGGGGGGAGTTACGCGGATGACGTGTGATTGTTTGCTGGGACGAGAGGCCTGGCTTGGGGGTGGGGGGGCGGGGGGGGGGGGCATACCATGGGGGGTGGGGGTGGCTGCGACGCGGCACCATATATAGATTCTCGATCGCTCTATACTGACGGTTTCCGTCAGGCACATGAACTGGGCCTCGAGCCCTTGGTCTACATCCGCGGCTTTGCGAGCGCGGGTGTGGATCCGAAGATCATGGGTGCCTTAGCCGGAAGGGAGGTGACGAACGCCTGCACAGCAGACGTGCACCTCTGAGCCAGCCCTCTGCTTTCACAGGCACAGGCCCCATTCCAAGCTCCAAGAAATGCTTGGAGAAGGCGAGCACCGCAACCATGTCACCATGCTGTGCCTTTCAAAGACAGCTCGCAGGTGGGTTGGTCCGTTAAGGACCTGGACATTATCGAGGCCAACGAGGCCTTCGCGGCACAAGCGGTGGCCGTGAACAAGGTCAGACGGAGAACCCTGACTGGCCGTGGCTAGAGCTGTCCCATGGCAGGAGATGGGATGGGACACATCCAAAGTCAACGTCAATGGCGGTGCCCCTTGCCCTCGGCTATTACCTTGCAGCTCCACTGCTTTGGTCTTACGACCGTGGCCCCAGGCAATTGCCATCGGCCACCCCATCGGAGCGTCGGGCTGCCGCATCGCTGCAACTCGGTGCGAAGACATTCTATGCATGGCCCCAGGATTTCTGCTTGTTCCTTCTAGGTGGACCTGATTCACGAAATGAGACGCACCAACAAGCGTCGCGGCCTTGCGACACTTTGCATTGGTGGTGGTCAAGGTACGAACATAGCTCGCCGAACAGCAGCACGATATAGTGAAGCGCAGGCACTTGAGGAATGAAGTGGCTTCAGTTTTTCGCCAGGAGTGGCGATGTGCTTCGAGCGTCCCATTGCCAGCAAACTTTGAGCAGCCCAAGGCCTTTTGTTGCTTGCAACATCACAACTTTCCATGAAGTTGTTATAGTCTTGGCACGTCTGTCCGCCTGCTCGGACATGTCATACCAGCAGCTGCTGCTGCAGTGTGCTCAAGTTCACCAGTCTTGCCGCACCCGATATCGCATAATGGGCATCCTACAAGGCTTCGCACTGTGGAGCCTGATGTGAGTTCATGTTTGGAATCGTTGATTTCGAACGCGTGAACATCACGGACCCCGGCATGGAAGAAAGGAAGCAGAAAAGTAAAAAGAAAGGGAACCGCCAGCTCCGGTCTTCGAGATGTCTCGATGTTTGGAAAGCATGTTATCAACTGGCCCATACTGGCCCTGTTGTTGGCAGAGTACGGGCTTCTGCACTCCGAGTTCTGTCGTTGTCCAAGACATCCTGCGGTCGAAGGTCCTCTGCCGCGTTTGCGGCATCATCGCGCTACGTCTGATAAGGCCAAAGCCCAGGATTACGCGCATGACATTAGCTCGGGTTTTGTTTTAATCTGCAGTGCCACGGAGGAGGAAATTGCAGGTGCATGAACTATCCCGGCCAACCCGCATAATGTAAAGACTGTTGCAGCACGAACACTCAGGCATGTTTGAGTAGACCTGCATCTGCATCTTCCAGTCGAAATGACGTTCAGAGCAGGCAGATTCACTGTCGCGTGTTCCGCTCCGATGTTTGCGTTGCGTCTCGGTGTGAATCTTCTTCTGGTCACGCCCAGACACGGTTGTAGCTCTGAAGAAGCACGCACCGAGATGGCTGAGCCAATGGGTTGCGCATTGGCGAAGACACGTTTCCATTTCTGACAGCCTCGCGTGCTCGAAAAGGCCTGGGAAGAGAGGGATGGGTGCGAGATAGGGTGGTTTCTGTTTTTTCGGGCCATGTTCCACTCGTCCCTCGTACGGAGGGCAGAAAATGCAACTATCTGGAGCTGAAGGCCGCAGCAGACGAGCACAAGCTACGAACGCTGTTGCCCTGAGGCTCGGAAGCCCCGGAAACGAGCCAGGAGGCCGGGCAGAAGCAAGTGCACCACCTTGTGAGGGACACTGGCTGGTTGGCTCACTGAGGTCGCTATCGACTCTTGGGACCGCCTGCAGGCCGTGAGGGCATGTGAGGGCAGCTCAAAAGCATGACACGGAAAACGTCCCATAGGCGATGGAAAGCGAAGTGACGCGCCTCGGAGAAGAGCTCCGTCGCGTGGAGGCCGTGGGAGCTCCTGCAAACACTGAAGAACGGTTACAGTACGTAAGTACATGTAAGTACGTACAGTAGGGTCGAGGGTTCGGAGAGCACCAGATTCAGAAGCGCAAGAGTAGCAGGGACATCTGCTCCGTTGCTCTGCAGCCACTGTGCAGCCACCCTGGGGCCTCTGTGCTTTGCTGCTTTTCTCCTCGCACGGCGTCAGCCCAGGAGGAGCAGCAGCATGCAGCTCGCCAGCGAGGCGACCTGCAGCAGGCGCAGACGCAAAGCGCATGTGGCAGAGCATGCAGAGCCTTCCGCAATTGCGGAGTTTGATCATAGTAGCGGCTGCGAACATGCCTGAAAACTGACGGAATACGGAATACTTATATGAGCGCGAGGCGGATAAGCTCCTGATGGCTCGACTGCATCACCCCTAGTCCACGCTCCGGGGCTCTCAGGTTCGAGGCGTCAGTGCAAGAGTGGCCGCAAGTACCGGTCTTGAGAAGTTGCTTAGGTCCACGCTGGAAGGTGACAAAGCTCACACCGGCGTCCAAGTGCAGAATTTGCATGCACTCATTTCAGCCAACGGCTTGGCTTTCAGATTCGATCAGCTATGCCCTGATGGAGCCTGCATCAGAGGGATCTGTCGAAGTGCTTTGCGAAGGCTGTGTAGGTCAAGGAACTGGTGCCAGCGCTGAGTCCAGTCAAGATTGTGACTAAGAAAACGTGCGCCGAGGCCCTTGACAGAGGGGCCCGGAATCTCAGATTTCGGCAGTTTCTGACCGCCGAGGCTGTCCCTCCTTGGTTCTTTGATGAGAACCAAGGCGCGTGGCCTTTCCGAGGACCTGACCTGTGTGGTGGAGGAGGTAGAACTGAGGCGCCCGCTTCGTGGGGTCTGGCTCAGCATGCCGACTGCGGTTCGATTCCAGGCTTGCCAAGATCGGCCAGGAGCTGTCCAGTCAGAGGTCTGCCTTGCAGCAGGCCGCCCCCGTCTTTCAGGTTGCAATCTGTGATGCCAAGAAGTGCTCGGAGAAGCAGTCGCCAACGTGCTGGAACTGGTGTACTGCTGGCGTACTGGTAAAGTCCTCGCTTCAAGCTGCCTGCACTGTTGTGATTATGCCTTGCTGCAGATGACTTCGCCTTCTGCGCCGGCTTCGGCGTCTTTGCCAGTGCCCTCATCTGCAGCAGTGGGCCGGGCATGGTAGAGGTGGAGTGAATGCACGATTCGAAGGGGAAGCTTTCCATGCTTGAAACACTAGCTGCAAGCGATAAATCGCTGGGATGCCCTTGCACCCTAGAGATGTGCAAGTGTTTCGTTTCGAGCTGACTGGCGGTGCGGAACCTTTCCTTCAAGCCGAGAGACTCTTGCTTTGAGGTGTCAGCAGCAGTTCAGAGACTCTGCAGTTCCAATCCCAGGACGATCACAGAATTAGCTCGGTTGTGTTCTCTTTGCCTTGAAGGCGGGGTTGGTTTACAGGTCCAGGTTGAGGTCTGCGATGTCTTGAGGATGCAGCGATCTGAAGCCTCGCACTTAGTTGGCCCTCGGAGAGCCGCTTTGCGATAAGCATATGTGAGCCGTGGCCGGTGGCGTGTGAGGCCACACGACTTTGCCAAAGCCTTCGTGCCTGGAGGGCTGCGGTGTGTCCAGATCCCCAGCATTTCGATCCTTGAGAGCAGCGGTGTGTTCTGAAGCTAATGTTTGCGACGAGAGTCTTTGGATTCTAGACTTCTGGGCGTTCATGCTGCCCTGAGGTTCCTCAGAGAGGCCTGCAGTCGTGCGTGTTGACAGCAGGGCTAAAGGGGCTGCAGACTTGCCACAATTCGCTGTCCAGACTCATCGTCTTTCCTTGTTGTGAAGAGCGGGCCAAAGAACACACTCTCAATCACAGCGATGCCAATGCCAGGCCACGGCTTGCTGCTTCGGACGCAGTTGCGGCCATGCCGATAATTGAGTCTGTGCCTCGGAAATGCTAAATTACAGCACCAAGAGCATTGACACGGCGACTGACTTGCCGCATGCAGGCAGCACTTGCAGCAACGGTTTGAGTGGCTCGAACAACGGGCCCTACTCAGCGCTCGCTGCGAGGCATCTGCTCGGGATGGGCATCAAACAGACTCAAGTAGGCATCAACAAAAAATCAAGTAGTGATGAACAAAAGTATCAAACTCTGAAAAACGGTAAGTTACAGCATTGAGGCCGTAACCCCCCAAACGTCAACGCCGCACGTGCTGCGACGCTGGTTGGACAGCAGAAAACCTCCTTATCCCTGTTCGGTGTTGTTGATCTTGATTAGATTTTGTTTTGATCCGAAAGTCGGCAATCGTGAGATCTTGAGTACCTTTGATTTGTTTTGATCCTAGACCTTTGATTTGATCTGATCAATGGTTGATTTTTTGGATCCCTCAGCCGGAAGCGTATCCACTGTCTGCTTGTCACTCTTGTCAGACTTGACCTGAGAACCCGCATGGCCAACTGGGTGTTGCAATTTCCGGGGCGCCTGCAGTGTGAGATGGCACAAGCTTACTGTCGGGCGGAAGCTTCTAGTAAAGACGCAGGGTCCGGAGTTTCTTCCGGCCTGCTTCTGGTTCGGGAGTGTCCTGGCAGCTAGGTTTAACCTGTGCCTGCGGTCCCAGGACCGGAAGATACCGGAATGCAGCACGGAAGGAAACAAAGAGTCTCAACTCGATACCTCGTTCTTTGGCTGCAATGCTTTCCAGTGCTGCAAGTGCTATAAATTGCCTGCTTTCTGTGCTTCTGAACAAACATGTGTGTTGATAGCAACATTTCTTTGCTTTCAATGCAGCGAACCGTAGAACTTGCAGTGCTTCTGCAAATTGAAATGCTGATGCTACAAATCACGGTATGCTTTTGCTTTCGATGTGTGAACATACCTGCGAAAAAGATGCTTCTCTTGTGTGCCTCGGAGTTGGAAGTATCACAGATGCCGTAATCTGTGAAATTGGACGTCAGAGTTTTCAAAAGGTGAAGAATGCTGCAAACTGCCGTGTTTACATGTGCTTACATGTTTGCGTACACTTTGCACGTGAAGGACACGAAACTGCAGTAGTTTGTCTCGCTTGCAGGAAGTCCGAGCCACGCTCCACCGTTGTTTTTCACACTTGCGGTCGTTGCTTGGGTACGTTTGCTGGAGTGTTGCCTGTACGGAGGACCAAGCTCACCACCAAACCCGTTTCTGCCCTGACAGACCACTAGCTAGCTTCAGCACGTTGACAGTTGCCAGGTGCTGCGCCAAAGAGAGGAACTTTGCCTGGCGGTTGGAACCGAGCTACACGAGGCAAGGGATCTCCACCCTGATCACCGAGTGGATGGGCGGGTGGCAGTGTCTGTTCGTCCATTGAAGCTTTGTACGATTGAGCAGCAAAGCTGGGTTCAGTATTTGCCGTGAGGCAAACCAGGCCCACTTCCAGATCGATGAGGCGAAGGCTATCGGCAAAATCTTGCAAGACTTGCGATCCTTACGGGAGCCGTGGATTCTCGCAGAATAGGATGATGTGAATCCATCTATACTTATTCCTCTGCCAAGTTCGCTCCTACTAGCCTCCATCGTGAGCTTGGCCTCAAAGCCAGCGCAGGTGCTCAAACTATCCGAGGGCCTCAGCGAAGTGCAGCAGAGGGTCGAGGATGTGGAGGCGCGGTTAGCTTTGGGAAGAGTCGGTGGAAGCGATCCGGCCTTCGCCAGCAGAAACGCCTAGCGGGCACTCAGTCCAGCGAGACCACAGTAGCTCCATAGAAGACTAGGAGGAAAACATGCGAGTTTTTTTTGTCGGGCATGCGTTGTTCTCTGAGATTTTTTGGCTGAGGGGGCATCCTGCATATACTTTGAGAAGGAAGGAAGAAGGGATGAAGAAGCCAGGAAGGAAGAAAGGAAGGAAGGGACAAAGGAACTAAGCATAGAATAAATGAAGAGGAGGGGCATTGTATAGAGATGCTTAATCAGACGCCCATCATCAAATCAAGATCAAGAAAGTTGACACTAAGAGTAAATAGCACAGAAGACGCGACATACAGAACGAACGCCTGTAAGGAAAGAGAACGCAAAACACCATCAAGTGAAGAAAGAGCGAAAGAAACAAGACAACTGCCGAACCGACCCGTGAAAGACGAAATAACAAACGCCAAAAGAACACTCAGAAGTGGTACACAGCTGTCACTACAGTACTACCACTGCTGCTGCTGCTGCTGCTGCTGCTGCAGCTGTTGTTACTTCTCCTACTGCGCTATTTCTACTGCTGCCAGCTGTTCCAAAGTGTAGCGACTGTTTTGCAGCAAAGTATTGAGGAATTCCTTCACGCAGGATCCGCTTGTAGGGGCCGTTTTGCAGCCAGTGGAGGATCTCCTGATGCACTGTCCCATGCGACAACTCCAATTATAAAGTCTGGTTTTCTGGCAAGTTATCCGGGAACGTGGTAGGGCCTGAGTAATGCAAATTTCTAACATACTGGGCCTGTGGCAAGCTGTTGGGGCTCAGGCATCTTTGCCGCAGCTGGTGAGCAAAGTGAACGAATTAGGCGGGCCGGGCTGGTGTGAAAGGGCAGCGTATGGGCGTGGAATTCATGACGTTTGTGCGAGAAGAGATTCGAAGTCTCGCAGTGGTCGCAGATGCAAAGCCGGCTACTCTTGCCCGTCTGGGCATCGAGTCTTGTTAAGAAGGTGAGGGACTGCATGATGCTACTTGCGCTGCTAGCCCCACGTTGTCATGAGCCCACATGGATCTGCAGTGCTGTCATGTTACAGCGCACATGGCTTTGAATTAAGTCGGCATGAGACGGTCAATTTGCTGTGGTGTTCTGTCCGCCAAAGAACGATTGTTTCATTGTACAAAATGCTAGCTTTGTTATCCTTGGTCCGGCATGTCTCCTTAACCAGCTCACCGGAGCCTATTGAACGCCGCGCGCTGTGCAGTCGTGAAGTGGACTGACGGTCCAACTGGCTGCACTGCGACACTTCAAGCCAAAACACACACGTTCAGGCAACTCTCGGCCGGCACAGGCGGAGACACCGGCGGAGAAGGCTGGATTTCATCTAACTTTCGGCAGCTTTGAGAGAAGCGAGTTCCGATGATGCTCTTGCCTTGGTCTTGCAATTGCGTAGCAGCCATCTTTTGGTGAAATATCGCGGGTGCAGCGTCCCTACCGTGGATGCATTCTGTCGGTGTAAGCATTAGACATTTCCAAAAGGTTGCAATCTTGAGTCTGACTTCGCTCGACTCTGATTCTTTGGTTGCAGGCTGTTGGCCAAGACCCCGAGTCCCTGAATGCCGTGCGAGCAGACGTTGGCGCTGTTGCACGCAGTGTTGCCCAGTTGGACGAGGCGGGTGCGGCGGGTTCATGTCGAGTTTGGCACAAAGAGGTACTTTCGGAAGAGAGATGCCTGGAAGTTTGGAATTTTCACACATCCTGCCTTGCATAGCAAATGCCTGGGCAGGTCTTCAGGGAAGCGCTCGAGCTCAACGACATCCGCGACTCGAAGGTCGAGGAGCTTCGCCAGGCCAAGAGAGCCTCGGGAGCGTCGGAGTATCTTGCTTGCTTTAGTCCGTTCTGGAGAAAGGCACTCAGTGAAGCGGCAGAGACCTCCGCGCCAGCGGAAGATGTGGTGGCCAGGCATGCCGTGCAGGCAAGGTGTGATGGTTCAGACTTTCCAACCGATGTTGCTTTCAACGGCTAGGGAGCTTCACGAAGAACGCTGTGGTCGTTCCCCAACTGGTAGATATTGCCAGCATGTCGCTTACATTTTAATTTAATTGCTGCGAGATGTGCTCAAGATTCACTCCCCTTGGCACTGCAGGTGGTCTGGCGGAGCGTTGAGGAACTTCAGGAGGCGGCATTTGATGAAACCCAGACAGTGACTCTGCTGACGCACGAGCTGGGCCAGCTGGCGTGCAGGCCCTCCAGGAAGAGAGCCAGGCGTCCAAAGAAGACGTGGCCAAAGATCTCCGCACTGTGAGGGAAGACCTGGAGCTTCTCAAGGCTGTGGCGGCTGTGGCAGAAGGAGCCGAATCATTATCTGTAACGTGCGGCGAGCTTGACAGGAGCAAGCTCGACACCCTAGCCTGTCCAGAACCGTCGAGGAGTTGCAGAAGGTGGAACGACTACGTAGTGCTGTGAAGTTCCCGTTGTGGTCGCACATCGTTGGGAGGGCGAGCAGAATCGTAGTTAAGGCGACGACCCTTGAATATTGTACAGTTTCTCACTTGCATTCCCGAAGCCTAAGCACCCAGCAATGAAGAGACAACGCCACCAAAGCACGAAAATGAAGTTGGCTGGACTGGGGATGGTGTTTCGGTTTTTTGTGTGTTACTTTCCTTGGGTCTCTAGTCTTGCTGTTAGGTTTCATATTCCTTCGATACTTCAAAGCATATGTAGATTGTAGATCTTTCTTCGACACGAAGACCAAGCTTGTGACAAGGACCAAGGCAGGTCCGGAAATAACACGCTTTCCGGTTAATACAGCACAGATTGTAAAACTACGAGAGCCACACGAAAGAGAAATCACCATGCAACTCGAGACCATGTCTGCACACAAGTATGCGTGTACACACATGAAGAAGTCAACGAAACATATGTGAATCTCTCTCTCTCTCTCTCTAATCGGTGAACGCACATGTTTACATTCAAGTGGTTTTGTTTTCCTAGACGGAGTCGAGGATGTTGACATCCGCCAGGAGTGCCACGGGACCTCTGAAGCACTTGGTCGAGTTGCAGGGCTTGAGGAGGCCTCACGCTGCAGTGTCAGTCAAATCAACAAAGCAAGATGAAAGGGCTTGAGCCCGGCCAGGAAGTGAAACACTTGATAGCATCACAACGGAGAAGCACCAAAGCTTCCACGGACGTCAACGACCTCCGCCACAGCTTGGCTGAGTTGCAGGAGGTACTTGGTCTGTTTTGCTGACTTCAGTATACAGTTGCAGGTGAGCATGACATGTCAAGGCATTCAGAGAAGCGGAGCAGAAGGCTTCGGCGGAAGCTCACTGCCACGTTCAAGAACTCAGCGAGGTGCGAACTTGACCGCGAGATACCATGAGCAAGATTTTGTATGCTACGTTGTCAAGTTGCAGCTGCTTTTCTGATGACCAGGGTTGGTAGATCTCGGTACTAGCATGTACTAGTCAAAGCTTGGATGAGCGTGTATGCACAGGCCGTGACGGACTTGAAGGTGGTTGCACAAGAAAGCACCAAAGCTTCCACGGATGTCAACGACCTCCGCCACAGCTTGGCTGAGTTGCAGGAGGTACATGATCTGGTTTGCTGAATTCAGTATACAGTTGCAGATGAGCATGACATGTCAAGGCATTCAGAGAAGCGGAGCAGAAGGCTTCGGCAGAAGCTCACTGCCATGTTCAAGAACTCAGCGAGGTGCGAACTTGACCGCGAGATACCATGAGCAAGATTTTGTATGCTACGTTGTCAAGTTGCAGCTGCTTTTCTGATGACCACGGTTGGTAGATCCCGTACTAGCATGTACTAGTCAAAGCTTGGATGAGCATCTATGCACAGGCCGTGACGGACTTGAAGGTGGTTGCACAAGAAAGCACCAAAGCTTCCACGGACGTCCACGACCTCCGCCACAGCTTGGCTGAGTTGCAGGAGGTACGTGATCTGTTTTGCTGTCTTCAATATACAGTTGCAGGTGAGCATGACATGTCAAGGCATTCAGAGAAGCGGAGCAGAAGGCTTCGGCAGAAGCTCACTGCCATGTTCAAGAACTCAGCGAGGTGCGAACTTGACCGCGAGATACCATGAGCAAGATTTTGTATGCTACGTTGTCAAGTTGCAGCTGCTTTTCTGATGACCAGGGTTGGTAGATCTCGGTACTAGCATGTACTAGTCAAAGCTTGGATGAGCGTGTATGCACAGGCCGTGACGGACCTGAAGGTGGTTGCACAAGAAAGCACCAAAGCTTCCACGGATGTCAACGACCTCCGCCACAGCTTGGCTGAGTTGCAGGAGGTACGTGATCTGGTTTGCTGAATTCAGTATACAGTTGCAGATGAGCATGACATGTCAAGGCATTCAGAGAAGCGGAGCAGAAGGCTTCGGCAGAAGCTCACTGCCATGTTCAAGAACTCAGCGAGGTGCGAACTTGACCGCGAGATACCATGAGCAAGATTTTGTATGCTACGTTGTCAAGTTGCAGCTGCTTTTCTGATGACCAGGGTTGGTAGATCTCGGTACTAGCATGTACTAGTCAAAGCTTGGATGAGCGTGTATGCACAGGCCGTGACGGACCTGAAGGTGGTTGCACAAGAAAGCACCAAAGCTTCCACGGATGTCAACGACCTCCGCCACAGCTTGGCTGAGTTGCAGGAGGTACGGGACCTGGATGGAATCGCATGTCAATTTGCCAACCTTGTGGGCCATTTGGCTGATGCCTTTTTTTGGGAGTGGCACGTTGCGTTCACGATGCCTGATTACTCCGAGGCCTACCGCGACACTGAGCACGCGGCGGTGTCAGATCCGAGTGCAGATCACGACTCGCGCAAGGTCGAGGAGATGCCAGAGGCCTCGGAGTTTCTCTCAGAAGCGTCACGTCAGTTGGCCTGTTTGTAATCTCACAGCACTTGAAGGAGTACTCAGATCTTAAAGCGGCACATCCGCCCGAAGGATCTGCAGATCCAAAGCAGTCTCGAGGGCGCATCTGAGGCCACGGCAAATCGGCTAAGAATGCAACACCGTGTCCACATGCTGCCACTGCATATCGCTTGACTCCCAACTGGTGGGATGTGGACATAGTGAGAGAAATGCAGCCGTTCAGGCTTTCAGTGCTTTGGCCCCGAGTCAGGTTACAAGATAGATCTCCGGGTGTAACAGAACAGACTGACTGGGCCGCATCGATGCCACATGACAGCATGACACGAGCTCCAAACTGCACGCATCACGGCTTTGGTAGCCCTGACAGGCGTGGATAGTTAGGATGCAGCTTCGCCTGCCTTCGGCAGTGCTGCGCAATGCCCCGAAAGAGGAGACGCCACTGAAGTGCGTCAGCTTCAGGACTGCGGCAGAAGCTTTTACATTATTGAATCGTTTACGTCCGTACACCTTGCAGCAGCCTTTGAATGCCGTCTCCGGATTTCCAGGGACCGCATCGACAGCTCTTCCCAGAGACTGCAGAGAAGTGGCCGCAAGCACGCAACGAGGCTCCGGAATGCGGAGGCAGAGTGTCGGGCTGTTGAGCGGCGATGTCGCAGGTCGCTGTCGCCGCCTTTGTCCCGCTCAGTTCCTTAGCTCGAATCTGACGTGTGAAAGGGGGGTCGGGGTCGGTGAGTCAAAGCACCTGCTCATCTCGAAAAGCAGGCTATCCTGCTTGGCCCGACTCAAAGGTGAGCATAGAGGGCGGTGCAGAGGGTGCCACACTTCAGGCTTCCAAACACTCAAACGCCTCTGGCATTCTGCTTGGGTCCTGCGGCATCGATCGAAGGACTGCCCGAACCCGAAGCCTCTTGTCGATGTTTTTGCTTCTCTGGTGAGTTTCCTTACTTGTGCATTCAAGTGCATTGCTGGCAATTGGCGACTCATGAATTCCAATGCTCACCTCCAAAGACTGATGTTGAGCTAGAGACTATCAAGGTTGGGCTGAAGGGAACATAGAAGGTATATCGAAGATCATGCACAATATACACAACGAGCCGTATAGCTCTTTTTCCGCAGCTTCGCTATATACAGTTTGTATCATGTATGTCCAATATCTCGTATCGGAAGTCTACATACATGATTTATTATTGTATAACATAGAGATATAGTTCATGGCATAATATGTAAGGCCTCGTATGCAGCAGACAGGATTTTAATGAATAATACAAGCGTATATATATATATATATATGTATATGTATGTATATATATATATATATATATATATATGTATATATATAATTGTATATATATATATATGTATGTATGTATGTATGTATGTATATTTGCATACATGCACACACCCGCTTTGAAGTATGCACCTTTTAGCAGTATAGCATGTAGGACATAACATGCGGCACATACAAATTAGATACATGCATGTCTTAAGTTCAGTATACGGTATATAGCGCATATGTAACATTTAATGTATCCAAGAAAAAGTACAAACGTACAGCAAACGAAGTATGTCAAGAAAGACACATGTACAGAGATGATTAGGCACATAGAAAAATACAAACCGAACTTATGTATGTGGCTATATACATGTCTAGTATGTTGATATATCATAACTGCAACTGGCTATTTGCACAGCCTTTTAAGTTTTAAGCATGCAAGCACGGAAACATATATGGTAAACTGTCTGGTATACAGTATATGCACATATCAGCTGTAAAGGTACAGTATCGTGTTGCACCAGACATAGTATCGAAGTCCTGCCTGGTGGTCAATCAAGTTTCTCAAGCGTTGCCTGCTGCATGGTCATCAGGAAGCATAGCCGCGCCTGCTGTGTGATCAGTTTCTTAACCATAGTTCCCTTTCTGGCCAGGCAACCGTTTCTTAAGCATCGCCCCTTGCATGGTCAAGCCGCCGTTTCTTAACATTTTCGCGGGTGGCGGGGCTTGGGCATTAGAGGGCTGCATGGGGGCAGGGCGGAAGGAAAGGAGAGCCGGCGCCAGAGCGTGGTTTGGCCCTGGCACAGCGCGACAGATACCGTGCGCAAAGGCAAGACACCCGCGCCGCGAGTAGAGCTTCGCGGCTTCGGTCGGGTAGGCGCCCCTGCAGCCCACCGTGTAGGGAGGACCGGAGACTGCTGGCATGCTCGACTCCCGAGTTCTTGCGAGGATATGCTCGGCGGAAAGATTAGGCACTGGTGGTGTCACAAGGCCAGTTGGCCGTGGCTGCGCCCCGTCCCGCGAGGAAGTTGGTACCCGAGCACAACGTAGAAACGTCGGCGACCTGTCAACTGGCGGACATCTACGACGTTGAAGAAGGCGGCGAGCTTGAGAGAATGCGGGAGCTCGGGAGAGGGAACCCAGGTTCAATTCCAACTGCCTCCAACTTGCATCACAATAGACTAACTGTCCTAGCAAATCCCAAGGCTCAGAAACCATGAATTCAGAGCAATTTGTAGAAGGGCTGCGAGCCTGAGAGGCAGGTCGGACCTGGAGTCTTGCGACAGCAGTCTCAGAAGGAGTTGTACCTCACCATCCTCAGCCAATCGAACGACCACTATTTATCTTGAATCATGCAGATCGCCGTCATCCTTTGGCTTAAAATCTCGCACAGAGCGATAATGAGCGATAGATGTCAGACTCTGGCAGGGATCGTCGGCTATGGCGGCTTCGGGACAGTCCGCCGGGCGACGCTCAAGAATGCTCCAACAGTTGTGCGAGCGATCAAAACAGCACCCTGGCTGCTTCGATCCCGAGCAGTTCCGAGTCTGCTGGCTTTCCAGTGAGTTTACGAGCCCCTGCGTACTGTCAGGTGCACAAGCGGAGTTTGAAAGCTCAGAGCTTCGTGCGAAGTGAGATTCGTGTACTGAGACGGCAGCCAGGCGAGCAAGACTCGTTTTTGCAGTCTCACTAGTCTTAGTTGCGTCGACCTTGTGGCAACGGCAGGTGTAGTGGAAGTAGCGGCAGTTGTTGCCATAGCTGTCTTAGCAGCTGCTACGCATTTTACATGATGTGTCTGTTAGGCTTCGAAGGTGCATAGAGCCGGCCGCAAGTCTTCTGAAAGCTTCAACAACCGAGGTTGGACCACCCATGCATCTGCCGTCTGCTTGAGACCTTTGAAGACGAGAGGCATCGAAGCGTCGATGTTGACTCCAATCCGTCCGCAAAATAGCCTTGTTAGGAAGTCTCAGACTTCCAGTGCTGGATGCTCGTGTTATACTAGAGCTCGTGCCAGGTTTCTCCACTGTAGTGTTTTGCCCACCAGCTGAAAATAGTGTTGCTGCTCAGGGCAATCTACCTTGTGCTGGAGTTCATCGATGGCAAGGAGCTGTTCGATGAAATCGTGGAAGGCGTTTGCGCTTTCTTGGGACTTGTTGCGACTGCATAAATTCCCAACCTGCCAAGGGCTGATGGCTAACCTTGAACTCTACTTCCGAACTTCCAGACCATTCTACATGGGCTATGGGTTGCCTTTGTCGGCATGGTCAGTACGGTGATTATGACTACAGTGATCAGTCTGTTGAGATTCGCCGTGGTATGCCCTGTGATCATCGGCTGGAGTGAACCCGCCTGAATTCTTCAATAAACAACCTCTGCCCTTTTTGTTTTGAGTTCTGCATTCAACGGAGAAGAGCATGGAAGAAGTATGAAGAAGTTCAGAGATTTCCGAGCAGTTTTGACCGGAATACCTAGCCTTTTCGTTTTGCTGAGCGTCTGTGCCGGCCAACTCCACTGCTGTATGTGGTGTGCAAATATACATATATATATATACACACACACACATGAGAGGTATGTATGTGTTTATGTATTTATAAGTATAAGTATATATATACATGTGTATATATATATATATACATATACGTAAAAGTGTCAGAAAGGACAGTCGTGGCGTGTATAATGCAGTAGTTTTTTGAAGGATTCAGAGTAGTGATAGGAGCCACAACAGTACCCTCTCAAGTAAGCAGTAGGCGACTACATGCCTTCAACACTTAGTTTACCAACTGCCCTCCTGCGCACCTGTTTTAAAACAAGGCCCTGGTTCTAAAGCAAAGTCTTTCATCCTCTACAAGAAGCAGAGCAGGAAATGCTAAGAATTGCTGCGTACTGTGGCAACCAAAAAGCGAAAGCAAAAAAAAACACCAAACACAGCAACCCCATAGCTCCCCTTTACAAGAATCAGAGCAGGAAATGCTAAGCACTAAGCACTGATGTGTACTGTCGCAATCAAAACAACAAACAAACAAAAAACCAACCCCATAGCTCCGGAGCCACCCGGTGAGATGGGGTCGGGATTTTTTGGTGTTTTTGCTGTTATTTGTTTTGGTTTTGCACAGGTACACAGCTGCCAGCCGATGGCGCTTGCATTATGGGCATCTGGTGTTCCAGGGGGGTACAGGGTTCAGGTTTTGTTTCGCAGGGTTCTTGTCGCGACGAAGATGACGCTGATTCCCGTGACGCGTCGTGGATGTATCACCCAGCTGCTGTTAGTTGGAATATGCGCTCTGCGACATGAGCAAAACGCCTCTTGCTCTTGCTCATGATGCTCATGCGGGTCGGCTGCTCTATTCATGCACCTGAGATCTGTCGTTGATGCGTTTTCGCACCAAAAGCCTTTCTTGGTCAAAAGCATCATTCCCTCGCTTTCCTTTGCGGTTTTCTGCATTACGGCACGTGCGGCGGTAGACTTGTCTTATGAAGACTTCCAGAAAACGGTAGACCCGATGGTCTTGACGGCGGCGACATCTCCGGCGGTCCTGAACTTGCTTGCCGGCATCTTCGCGCCAGTGACTCTTCCCCTTCAGGAGATGAGTGCCTCAGATAACCCCTCCATCAATGTGTTCGCTGTGATTCATAACTACACAGGAACCATCGACTTCCCTGACCTGGAAACGAAGTAGAAGATGGCCGCACTCAACCGGGATCTGGATATTCTTCCCGCGCCGTTTGTCCACTAAGGCTTGTCCCAAAGGACAGAAAGTAGATCTACATTGTCCCCATCTCGGACGAGAAACATTTCGTCTTCGGCAACAAGTGCAAACCCAGCCTCTTCTTGACCTCC